AAAATATTTATTTCATTTATTTATTGTGGATGGTTCGGGTCATTGGTCACATAACCAGGAGGCTGCTCGGTTGGAATGATAAGTGATGATTTTGGGGGGATAGCAAGCAATGACAAATATTTAACTGCCTTGTTTCAAGACTTAAAACTATTTTTGTCAATTAGTTGCCAGGTCACTTGCAAGTTAGGTTACAGAACTGCCAAAACTGGGAACCCCCTCACCCTACCAAAGATCAGACGTCATTTAATTCTTCTATTCTGCTGTCGTGGCTAAAGAGGATACAGTTCAAACTGGGTCAAATTGAGGTCCAGTCTTCAGCAGCCACCCAGATTTACATCGTGTGATAATCTCAATGTTATTTATTTGTGTTATAATTTGTATTTAATATGCCTTTACTGATCAAAATTATGTAACATTTCACCTATGGTATTTATAATATCAATCTAATAATTAATTATTTGTTTGGACCATTTATAAAAATTTTAATGCTAAACTGTGTTTTAAAAATGAAGTATTTTTCAAATGTAATTATTATGCTCACATTAGCTCATAATGAGAATGTTGAACCAGTTCTATTTTTAAAATATCCTTATATTTATTGGAAAAAGTAAAATGGCATTAAATTTCTGAAAAGATGTTTGAGAATGTTTCTTCAAATTTGAATAGATTTGACTTTAAAAGGCTGAAGAAACATTATTTGTTTTGTTTTTAGTTACTTAACATGCTGTTTTGTACTGTAGGCAATATGATTAATAAAAAAACATATTTTGTTGTGTGTGCTGAAGTTAAAGTGATCCTCTTGTAGTGCAATAGGGGAGATGGTGAATTTGCTCTATGTTATGCTACCTTTGTCGGAGTTTATAAAGGCAGTTCTCTGTGATTGATATTTACAAGATAACTATGTGCCAGTCGTAGTGAAACTATATTAACCACATTATAGCACATCTACAGTGTAAATAATTTTTGCAATCAAAGTACTGGTTTGTCTATACTTATTGCATGGTTTAGTGACTGGTATTGTCTACACTTTATTGTATCTTAGTGCCAATTACCTATATGTATTTAACTTCCTCTACTTTCAAAGTAACTCTTTTTTTTATATTCAATTGATTGGAAGAAAAAAAACTTTCAGTACACTATTTTAGATAGATGAATGAGTTGATCCACTGGACATCCACATGAAGATATCTGTGCACATGCTTCACAATTATCAAAATGGACTCGGTGTTTCCCAAACATTTAAATTCTGTGGACAAGTTGCAAATTGGCATCAGGGACTGGTGGCAGATTTATTTATTTTTATTTGAACATAAAATTTAATACTGAGGGTGCCGGCAACGTAAGGCTCATTGACCAGAAACGGTTCACAAATGACCATTTTGGGAAACACTGAGTCTAAATCATCAGTAAATGGTGAGAAGTTTGTATCATTCAATATTGATGTATCTTACATTAATTTTAAACGTGTATTATTGAATATTTTTGTATCCAGGTAACTTGGTTTTGTATCATTTTCCCCATTTGAATATTTTAAGTACTGGTACAAAATATACTTGTGTAACTAAGTAGTGTGAAGTTTTACTGGACGTTTCTATTAAGACAGAAAAGAAAACAAGGCACTAACTCTGTATGAGAAAAAGTAAGACATTACTTTGGGGAGATCAGTAGAGTTTAGTAAAGCTTTAACTTTAACCAATTCTTCCATGTAAAGTTGTGTATTTTCTTGTTTGCCCACAGAGAATTTTCCAATCTTCCTGCAAATAGCATTATTACTGTTGAACTTAAACCCAGTGTTTTGTTGCAGCCACATGATTTTAAACTGCATTAAATATTGAAGAATCATTTTACACATTTAGGCCATTTTTTTTGCAGTGAACTGACAATTCTTTTTTTTGTGTGATAAGTTCACTGAAATAAAAGTCTTTAACTGTTTCTGTAATTTATTTTTTTACTTCAGTTTATTTATGTATGTTTATGGAGTCTGAAACAAGTTTTCCAACTTCAAATCTGCTGCCCAAATACAACATGTGATATAAGAAGTCAGTTAATATTGGCACTATCTTAATAACTGAATAGTTTATATTATTTAGGACTAGTTTAATGAAGAGGAACACCCCTTTAAAGAAAATTGAGTAGCATTTTTTTTTTTAAATTGGAAAGCTAAGTTTGGAGCACTGACAAGTGACATACCTATGAAAAGTTAAGGATCAAAATATACAATGCATTCACAAAGTCAATAAAACCCAAGGAAATATAGTATTTTATTGTAATGTGTATAATTGTTTTAATATTTATAATGCATACAATGATGAGATAACTCTAGTGGAATATTATGGCAATGAATTCCATGTTAAACATAAATACTACAAATTTAATTGGACGAGGATTTGGGTGAGGGGTTTACATTAATGTACAAATCTACCCAGTCTTCACAACTAATGGTCAAGTATCTTGGCTTCACAGCCTTGCAACTGTCAGGTATGGAGACATCATAATGCCTGGGGACTGTTCGGTATCGGTAGCCAAGCTTCACATTACCTGGGGACTGCTAGGTGCCCATGCTTCACATAACTTAGGGACAGTCGGATGACATTAGCTTGAAATATCACACACACGCAAATGACAAATATTTTTCCATCATCAAAGGGTCATTTTGTTAACAAATAAGGATACAGTTGACAAACCCGTTTTTCACACCTTGATATAGAAAAGATAAATCTATGGGATATTAAATCAATGTCATTTTGCACCACAACAGTCACAAGTAATTTAAAGGAACCTCTGTATCAAAGCTATTTAAAGGGAGAGTTTAGAAAGAAATGAAAGAAATGATTTATTATTCCCAATTCAGAAAGTCACATCTCTAATTAAATAGTGGAACAAGATATCTTTAGGCTAGAAAAAAAAAGACAGAACAATTAAAATGATGTTTCAGCTAAAAGCCTTCTTCAGCAGACAATGTAAAACGAAATTATTTTAAATTAATAATTTGAGTGTTCTCAGGTCAAGATGTAGTTCTCTCAGTCTCTAAGCTACATTGTGATCTGGGAACATTTAAGCATTAATTGTTCTGTTGTTTTTTTTTTCAAGCCCAGCCATATCTTGTTCCGCTGTTTATTTACTTGACACAGCCCCTTACATTTTATAATAGCTTTAAGTGGGAAACATTTTTGGCCTTTTTGTAATAGCTGGACCAAAATAGCTGAAAGAATGATTCTTTTCCAACTGATACATTTTCATGTTTCCCATTTCCATAACCCCTTCTGTATTTATTCTAATTGAATAAAATGTAATGGTTTACCTTCAAAAACAAAACACCCAGATAACAAAATGAGTCTTCAGTGCACTTGACCAAAAAAAATTCACTGATCCCACAGGTGAACAATTTGCGTTAAATTTATGTCAAAACAGGCTAGTAAAATTATTATTTTTTTTTAAAAATCTAGTTTGCAGTTACTTAATTTGTATAAGATGAAACAACAATAAAATTCTAAGCAATCTTTCTTTTAATTAAAGGAATGGTATAAGTAGAGAATATTACAGAGGAATAAATTATTTTTTTATTACAGCACTACACACCTTTAGGAGGATTAGCTGGGGAATTCTTAGAGCTCTTAGTGCAGCGGTTCTCAACCTATGGGTCGCAACCCCTTTGGGGGGTCGAACTAAACTTTTACAGAGGTTGCCTAAGACCATCAGAAAACGCATATGCTCTACAGTTAAGAAGTATCAACAATAACAATTCTGTGGTTGCGGGGTTGCCACAACATGAGGAACTGTATTAAAGGGTCGCTGCATTAAGAAGGTTGAGAACCACTTTCATAGTGTGTAAAAGTTGTTTAAGGTTATATGTCACATGGGAGACTTAATATTGCACTTGGCTATAGAATTGTATGACATAAGAATGATCATGTGAATATTTACACAACATTCCTTATGAGCTAAATTATAGGAGGATTATTGTAATAAATACATGTTTTTGCTCTCCAGGAATGGTATGTACATTGCAGATCTTGACCAGTGGTCTTAAAACTTCTGATCCAGGTATCAAAAGTGTAGTTTGTGGTCAAGGATCACTAGAATAAATTGTGATTTTAGTACCTCAAGCATTATTTCTGATTCAAGTACAACAAGCAATTTTTGTGATCCAAGTACAAAAACCATATTATTAATACAAGTAACAAGGAAAATATGTTAAAATGGGGGACAAAATAATGTTAAATTCTGTACAGATCTCACTGGGCTAAACGGCTTAGATAATGAGGGACAGTGTAAAGCTAACATCAGCAGTTTTTCTACGACATCAAACAAAAATCCTACAGATAATTAACACCATTGATGACTGTAACTGGACCACAATTTTCTCTAATATTTTCATTTTTAAAACTAAACATTTTAGATCAAGGCATCATGTGACAACTAATATAAATCTTGATTTATCAGTTTTATTAAAAGTTTTTTCTGGAGAGGTTGATGTGTTGTGCAACAGACCTCCAACTCGGTAATGTTTATATATAGGCTCACTATAAATACTATAATATGCCCTATACTAAATGATAACTTTGCAAGATGTAAAGTCTTGTATGACACATCAATATTTGTTTTCTTCAGTTCAGTTCTATGTTTCAAAAGATTATGTCTGCCTTTTCATAAAAAATTAACCCAAACTTGCAAACATCTGAGTTAAATTAGAAATTTAAAAAATACATTTAAAAATAATCTATTGAATATATTAAATGAATTACATATATAAATATATGTATATATGTACATATAAATATTTATTTATTGCATAGCACTCTATATACATTTTGTTAGGTTTATTAATGTACAAATATAAATACTTATAAATACATGAAAGTAATTTTAAAAAATTATATAAATATTAACATTAAATCAATATTTAAATCTTTTGAAAAAATCTCAATTCTAACATTTTTTTTAATGCAACATTTCAAGTGAACATTGAAAATAAGTGTATATAAAATAAAACTTAATTTTCCTGAACTATTTATTATGCAATAAAGTTGAGATGACATAATTAAACAAGGTAGTTATTTCTTAGTTTACAATGTTTACTATAAAAGGATATTTGGTAATAAGTAGTCATATCTAGTATGTTGGGGGGAAAGGGGAGGGGGGGGATTAGAAGCATGAACAGATCTCAGGCATAGCAAATGTGGGGAAATATTTATTTATACTCTAAATATAATAAGAACAATTTAATAAAAAGCACAATAAAAAAAAAAACTAATAAAAATAATTCACTGTAATTTTTGTTTAAAAAAATCTGAGATTATACCCAACTCACTGAATTATTTTGTTAGCCAAGTTAATATAGAGACGGGAATGAGTTTGTTCTAATGATATTGATTAACAGCTAATTCAACGCATTTAACAACTTAAATGTTCAAAAACATGGTGTATGTAAGTAGACATACACAACAAAACTATTGGACACATAGAGACAAGAACATACTTAATATAGTGAACTGTGCCAAGACTAGAAATGCCATCAAGCATTTATTAAAAAGAATTATTATTTACTTCCTAAAAATATCATTATATTTTCCTACATCAACTGCATATTGTGGCTAGTTCAAGGGATTTCTTTTAGGCAGAAGCCCAAGGCTGAGATGGTCTCTCCCCTTATTACCCTCTTACAACGATGTAGAGAAGGATTTACACCAGTTAGGGGTTTGCGCATGGAGGCGGAAAGCCATGGATCGTTCCGAATGGAAGGATGTGGTGGAGCAGGCCAGAGCCCTACATGGGCTGTAGCGCCACTGATGATGATGAAGTCGTGTATAACAAAAAAAGTCTCATTCCTTTCCATGGCTCAATTATGGCTCTACTTTTAATTAAAACTAGGCATTATCTGAACTTAAGATCACAAACTATATTTTTTGTACTACCAAAAAGATAACGGGATAATAAAAACAAGGCATTATCTGAATATAGGTTACAACAGCAATGTAACTCATTCATGGTGATATATCACAAGGTGCTAGTTCTCAACATGGACACATTTTTCAATAAAAAACGTTTTTTTTTTAAAGTTTGTATAATTTGATTCAGTTTAAGAAAATAAAGCACACAAAAAAAATTGTACAATAATTTTGATTTGTTTGTTCAAATGTACATCATAAATTTCAATGGCAGTGGAAAGAACAAAAAAAAAATAATAATGTACAGCATTTTGGCATTAAGTTTTTAAAATTTGATTTTAAATGAATTAAAAAAAGCATTTTATAAAAAAATTTTTTTTAGCAAAATCCACATTCGATGCCAACTTTTTACATTTGACAATCTACAGAAACAGACTTTACCCATAACTTAGTCCATACATTTAGTTTTAATGGGCCAACTCAGCAGTAAGAATATAGTGAATATTGCGGGGACTCTACAAATATTTTGCTCAGGTCTAAACTTGAATTCAAAATATGGAAAACATTGATTTATGTGCCATAAGTTTCCCTGAAATGTCGTGATGAATTCCTAGGAGTCAGGAGGGAACAAATCAAAACAAGAAGTGGGTGGGCTGAATATTCTGACAAACTTGAAATGAACTTATTCATGTGACTCTTTTTGAGCAAATATTTTATTTATGAAAGTAAAAACTATTGGAGAGATGATTTCAATCCCTTCATAGGACATTTTAGCAGATGTTTTTTGGTATATAGAACAAAACAAAAATCCAGCAGTTAATGTTTTTATAAAGTTAAAGCTAAAACATCAAAATCATATCCTTATATGGGAAAGAACACACATGGTTTGACAAGTATAATCCCATCCTTAACTTCAGACACTCCTACACAAGGTCAATTGTACACACAGACTATTTCAAGCAGATAAAATTTAACTAACTCACCAATTTGCGAAGGATACTTTCTTTTTGGCCAGTAAAATAAGAGACACAATATTAACAACCTTTTGTAATTTATTAACTATACAATCTGTTCAATGTTTTTTTAGATTTTTTTAAAGCTATGTAAATTCATTCACCATTGGTAAAGAATTTCTAAGGTCCTTACTATATCAACAATAGTGAACTGTTTGAACATAATCTTAGGGACTATTTCTTTGAATGATCGGTTTCTAAAATGCCCATCCGACTGTAGCGTATCCTAAGAATAATAGCATTATAATATCGTTAACACTTGATCTTAGGTATAATAAAAGTATGTCCTCACAAGGAAGTTTAACAGATGCAAGTGAAACCAGTGGTCACCCCTCAAGTTGGTTGTTATACGTGATACAAGTGGTCACCCCTCAAGTTGGTTGTTATATGTGATACAAGTGGTCACCACTCAAGTTGGTTGCTCTAGATCCCACTCAATTCTGATTTCTTTAAATTCAGGAGTGCTGAACTGCCTTATGCTATGGCACCAGCAGGTAGAGTAAGACGTTAATGACATCTTTTCCTACTAATACTAAAACCAGGCCAGACTGATTGTTTTGCTAATTCCATTTTCAGATCTTAAATTTTAACTGTGCTGTTGTGAACAGATGAACTGACGACGTGACAATTTTAAAATAATTTAAAGGACAGAGTAAAATCTGTGCAACACTAATGATTTCACAGCATGATTGAAAAACCCCATCACTTTTCCGAGAATTTATCACTGCATGATTCAAAGCAGGTTAACATGCCTTGTTGAAGCAACGTCAGTCAAACTTTGCCAAATGAGAGGCAGCTTCAGTACATCTGTCAGAAATCCCCTCGCATCTGCGTTTCAAACATCACAGCAGATGTGAGGACTATTTAAGCAGCTTGGGTGGCTGCCTTCTTCAAGCCGACTGCAACATTTCACCAGATTGTGCCACTCATGCAATGCCTATGTTTTCTTTCATCATCTGGTTGTGTGCAATGCTGGTATCACTATCTCTGTGACCTCCGCTGCTGAGCTTGTGAGGCACCATGTGTTGGTGGTGGTGGTGGCGGCTGGCACTTTGGTTGCCGGGCAGTTGATGAGCGGGGTAACTGTAGGGTATGACTTCTGTCCAAGATGACGAGTTGATGTCCATCCCTGATGTGGTGTTGGGGGTGTTCCACCATGAGGTGTCGTAGTGAGAAATCATTCGCGGGGATGATGGCCCGGGGTCAGACTCGATCATTTTCTGGGGCTGATTGTTTTGATTATCTAGAATTTTGAGATGTTTGTTGTTCACCGCTCGTGGGTTTTGAGGGCTTATAGGGGTCATGTGGTCATTGGCTGGGAGTGCCAATTGCGTGTCCAGCTCAAAGTGTTCACTGTGCCAGCTGTAGGGACGTGAGGACTGGACAGAGAGCATCATCTCAGGCATGCCGGCGGCTTGGCAGCACGAGGACCAGCGACGGGGATCAGTTTCATGGGAAAAACGAGTGAGGCGGGAATCTGTTGAACGTACCGTGGAGGTGTCGTAGGAAGATCTGGAGCCAGACTGTGACCGAGAAGTCTGCATGAGAGAGGAATCATTGCAGAGTGCCGTGATAAGGGGAAGAGAGATAGCATGAGACTGGCCCAAGATTTGCTTTAACTCCGGATGTAGACTTCCTTTACTGTGAACTTGTTGCATGTTTTCAACCACCTCATCTTTCTTTTCTTCTGTATTTTCTTCTGTTCTGTGAAAAAGGTTTTCTTTGTTTTCTTCCATTTCTTGCTTCATATTTGCATCTCCAGCCTGCAAAAAAAAAAAAAAAAGAGTCAATCAAAGTGCAGCTTTTCTCTGAATTTATCTGTTCATTCAAAACAATTATTCTTACCGATATATTCCTATTTTAATAATCGTTTGAACATTACCTGAATCTGATTAGAGAGCAGCGGGATTTCTTTAGCTGTGACATTATACTTGTAATACTCTTCTGTGGTCATGTATGGTACCTGTTGTTGACTCACTTGTTGACGTTGGGTGGATGGATACTGCGTCAGCTTGTGTGGTGCCTGGTGCTGTGTGGACTGGTACTGGCCTGGACCCACTGCAACGGCTGCTTGTTCCGGCACGTGCATACGGCCTCTGGTCGCAGATTTCTGTTCCATTAAATGAGCTGAGCCCTGCTGTAGTGCTAACATGTAATGCTCTGTAGCATTTCTGGATGAGGATGTGTGAGAGTTTGAAGCAAGTTGATCTGATTTTGCAGTCATCATGCCACCAACAACTTGCTTATTGTCTTTATGAAACTGAGCATCAAGATGGGGCTGTAGATCATTCTTAGACACCTCAGGCTGGGGGGTAGTCTGTGCCCCTGCTGGGATCAATCCCCCATACACATCAGCTCTAGGAGTATTCATTGTTGTCTGATATTCTGTGAGCCCCATATGTGCCGGAGGTAATTTAAACTGATCACTCCTGAGGTCTCTTGGGGACCCGATTGTTTGATAAATGGCCTGTTGGGCACTTTGTGCTTTGTACTGTTGTTCTGTTCTATTTCTAGGGTAGGATTTTCCATATTCTGGAATATTGGCTCTAGGCGAAGTCAAGGCACTTAACTTTTGACCAATGTCAAGTGGTGTACTAGTAGGCCTGAACTGTTGACTCACATCACGTGGAGAACTGGGACCTTTCAAAAGTTCAGTGTTTTCCAAGCTTTTAGAAGCATGCACCTGAGGGTCTCTTGTAGCACCTAATGTACTAAAGTTCAATGCAGCCAGGGGAGGGGGTCCGGGGTTCATCTGCACTTGATTCACAGAAAAGTTAGGGGAGCCACCACTTCCCCTGCCAGATTTGCTGATATTGGCTCCTTGTACCACAGAGACTCCCGTAACGGATTTATGTTCTCCCATGAGAGATAAAGGAGCAAGCTTATCTGTGCCGGACAAAGCTCGAAGTTCAGAAGGAGGAAGAGATAATGGTGCCAGTTTATCAGGGCCAGTTAAAATACCAGATAATGACACGGCACTGTCACCAGATGTATTTCGGTCAACTGAGCTCAACAGAGAGCCCTGCGCAAGTTTACTGAAGCTGTCCTTCCTGCCTCCACTTCTCCGCACACCTGGGTAGGAGCTGAAATCATAGGTGGGTGTGGTTGGCGAGGTAAGTGGAAGCCCTGTTGTCCCCATGAGATATGCAGCTGTCTGCGAGTGCCTGGCACGCCAGCTTCCATTGCTACTGGTGGGGGAGAGTTCCTGTGAGGAGACATCCGTCTTGACCAGCTCCAGACTATGAGGGACCTGATTTGGACTAGTTTTATTGCTTTGGGGACTCTGTTTAAAACCTGTACACAAAAGAAAAGGTTACATTAAGACAGGTTTCATAAGTAATGACTAAGTCTCTCAGTTCTACAAACAGGGGTTGAACACAATTGGAATCAAGGTTTGCAACAGTATCATGTAATATCGGATTATTATTATTATTATAAAAAGTGGTGGTTTTATATAGCGCGGTACCCCAACCTAGGGCTGGGCTCACCACGCTGTACATACAATTTAACAAACATAATCATGAACTTATAAATTACACTCAAAGTGAAAGGAAGAAAATTAACCATGTGTGCTTCTTGGTTTGCTATCTAAATTTTCTGTAATATAAAATGTGCTTACTTGAGAGAAGCTGGAATTTTGATCTCTTCTGGCTCGGTGTGTTGGATAAGGTGGATCGAGGGGGACAGTCAATCATGATTTCTCGGCTGTGATCTTTCAGAGAGGCAAATAAAAATAATAATTTATTAGTAGGTGCAATGAGATGTAGAAAAAAGATTTGCATCATGTTCCAACTCAAGAGTTAAGAAAAGCGAATAAGATTTGGTACGTGATGGCTAATGATGAGTTAAAGGCAACAAAATATATTTTTAGAACAACTGATTTAGAATATGGACTTGAGATTGTGCATAACATACCATCTCCATCATCAAAGCTGACAGCCATTCGGTCACTCACGATGCCACTGGTGGTGTTTGAGCTGGCATCACTGATGAGAGAGAACCTTTGGTTGCTGCTGCTTCCGGCAGCACTAAGTGACTTGCTGGGACTGTGCTGGAAATGACTGCGGTCTCTAGGATCGCTGTAGATATAGGACTCCCTGTACCTCTTTTGATCTGAAATTTATAAAACAGTTTCCATAGATGGGCCTCACCTTATGTACACACAATTTCACCCTGACCTACTATATATACACTATGATAATTTTATTATTAATGTGTGCCATTTAAGCTGGAAAAACAAAGGTAATGTTGATCTTTTAATAAACCATGATGATATGTCTTTGATTTATTTCCCTAAAAATGGTATCCCACTGATAAATGAAATACTGAATTGTTTAGAGCTCAATAAGCTATGCCAGCGTTTATGTTGAGACCTCAATAAGCCATGCCAGCTTTTATGCTGAGGGCTCAATAAGCCATACCAGCTTTTATGTTGAGGGCTCAATAAGCCATACCAGCTTTTATGTTGAGGGCTCAATAAGCCATGCCAGCTTTTATGCTGAGAGCTCCATAAGCTATACCAGCTTTTATGTTGAGGGCTCAATACGCCATGCCAGCTTTTGTAACCTTGAAATGGAAGCACTCTTTTTGCTAAATTTTAATTTGTATACTGTACCTTCATTGTCCAAATGTTGAATCTCTAACAACTTAGGCTGTATGGCCATCTGGAACATGTGTGTACCACGACAAATACTGAGTAAGTATTTAGACTTGATGTCACAGTCGGTGTAATACATGTATCTTCTGCCTCCTGCACTCTGAACAGAGCGAATCTCAAACTTTTTTTTCTGAAAACATTTCAACACATTAGATTTCTTTTCAATAATAAATCAATTTAATGGATTTATGTTCCTCTCCTAACATAATCATTGCTAAAACTCGTTAACATTCAAATCTTTTAAACACAATCAATTTTTTTTTTCAAAATGTAAGCTAAAATAACAAAAGCAGGTAGTTAATAGCATTAATTTAATTTACTTTTAACTCTCTTTTCCTTTATTAGAGTCCACAAATTATTAGAGTTTAATGCTTATTTTCCATGTGAGTTTTTATTGGAGCATCTATCTCTCTCTCAGAGACATAGTCAAGCCATTGCACAAGTTGAGGGTGAGAACTGCTTGTTAACAACTTTTCAGCTTCCTGTGCATCATATACTTCTAAGATATTTATTACACTGAACATATCTCTGTGTCTCAAACAGCAATAATATATTAGCATGACAAATAATTAGCTTCTTTTCATACATCTAATTAATTTACTCACATCAAAATACAATTTACCAATGTCTCTCCACATAAATGTTGATATGTGATTTTTGTAACCAGCATCATCCTGGAGATAAAAAAAAAATAATGTGTTTAATATATATATAATACAAAATTTCAAGCACTGTACAGGAAAGCAAATGATTTGTAACAAGTTATTAAACCTCTTATGCAACCCACCCAGTGTCCTACAAGCACATGCTTATAGCACCCACCCAGTGTCCTACGAGCACATGCCTATAGCACCAACCTTGTGTCCTACAAGCACATGTTTAACTAACCTCAATGTACTGTGTGATGTATTATGCTGGTACAGGGCATATAGCTACTAACACATTTGCACAAATGTAATGATTTTTTTTAAAATTTATGTCCCATTTCTTAAATTTTGAATATGACTTTCCAACTTTAAAAAAACCTTAAGTCAATAAAAATATTAATAAACCGATGAATATATATTGAAAAATGTTTATCTGATTGAAGATGACTCTGGACGGTGCTATTAGGAGAGGATATAATGTCAGACCTGTTTACTCTTACGATTTTGGCGTATAATTAGATATCTTATTTTTGTTTGTATATTTGGACAAACACATTAACAACTTTTTGAAGCGTTTTTGAGAGTTCACAGCTGAACATAAACAAGAACAGTTAACATAGAAAAGAATATACAGTTACAATAACTTAACCAAAAAAAATCACATTTCGTACCTCATAAACTTCCACTCCTTTTGCACAAATAGCAAGCCAGGTATTGACAGCCTTGTCTGTTTTACGTTTCCTCACAGTGTAAAAATGAAGATTGTGAGCACCAGGTTGCATCGACGCATTTCTGATGTAGCGCAGCTCTGCATCATTTCTAGTCATATTATTCAGATCTTTGTGAACAGTTGGCATGTTGCTGGCCAGATAATCCAAACCATGTCTATCAAGCATCTGAAAATATGTCAGCAAGCAAAACTAATAAGTCCTCACACTCCTAAGCATCTTTCATTAAAATGAAAGAAAACTGTTATAAACCCTAGTTTTACTTATATTTCAGGTAAGATGGGCAAATTTAAAAAGAAAAGAATTTACCCAGAATGGGAAATATAGAGTGGGATCAAAGTATCCTTTTCCATGTTTTTCTGGTAAGTAGTTGCCATAATCTGCCTGGAGAGCATAGCCAGCAAGCTGGAAACATTTGTCTTCATTGTACAGGTGATTGTACTGTAGAACATTGTCCTTTAACTGGAGGTAGTACTCATGTCTAGTCACCTTTTCTCTGAAAACAGAAGTGGTTGTGTGATAGTCATATATTTAAATAAATGGGGAAAAAAAAATCACATTGTGATATTCCTTAAAAGTATATTTTATTAATGCTTAAGTGGAATAATTCCCCCTACTGAACTATAAAGTAGCCATTTGATTGAAAACTCATTTTATTAGTGTATTGATATATTGAATTTTAAAAAGTATCTATAGATTTCATATTAAAACAAAACAAAAAAAACAACTGGCACAGTGGTGGACAACACAAATTAGCCAAAAATAGTTTGAGGCTAATGTTAATCATCCAAATAATATGTGTTGATCTGACTTACCGTAACAAAATGACCTGGTCAACGTAAAACTGTACCCTGAACCAGACATTTATAAGAGCTTTTCCTTCACTGTCTAAACCCTAAAAATAAACAAGACGTAGAGGTCAACTCTGCGCACGGATGTAATGTAATTTTCTTGCAGCTTAAAGCAGCTGTTTGGTGGCAGTCAACATTTAATAAACATACAAAAACTTGAACAATTTTTGACATTATCTTGGTCAGATTAATGTCTATAAAACACTTGATGGTAAATAAATAATTTGGAAGAACAGTTAAGTAGCCTTAAAAGTTACTGATAGAAATTTGCTATAGATTATGGTGCTTAATAATTTTTTTAATGCTTTGTGTATGTGCTTATGGTAGAGCATGTGAATGAACACATGAAAAATAACTTCTTACCTCTCCTGATCCTGATTTCCACTGTTTTGGTGCAAGCTTGTGTATCTTCTCATCCAACAAGATGAAGTGATACTCATTTTCTATAAAGTTAAAACAAAATTTACATTTTATGGTAAAATCTATTATCAAGATGAGCAATATGCATAATATACGAGTATCATTGATTACAATTTATTTATTGGCAATAGGCTGTAGATACTGATTGAGATAATAAGTAAAAATTGTTGTTTTTAATGGATAAAATATGCATGCTTTGTATCAGTCCTTAACAGAAAAAAAATGAAATATTAAAATTTGCAAATACCTTTCTTAAAAGCCAAACCAAAGTACTCAGTCTCACGTAAACTAAGATGACCTGCAACCTGATTGAAGACTTCCTGGAATTTTGACTTGACATCAACATGGACAACATGCTGATCACCATTCAACAAATGGACATTGACCAATTTGCGTTTCTTTCCTACTGAAGCTGCCACCAAAGGTTTTGTAGTCATTGTCACACCTCAGCTTGGCTTCAGGACGCTTGAAGGAGCGTCCATCACTAGAAGTCCGTTAAAATAACACCTTAACAAAACAACTTTTGTCATGAACACATATTTTAAAAATCAATAAAATATTTATAAGGGCATGAGTTAAATGAGGCCTAAAAGACTTTTAGTAGTTTTATGGCTGGCTAAAAAATTATTATACATTTTCACTAGTTAACAACTTTCGATAAAGTACATCAAAGGAGTAATTTTCTTCATAATGATTTATAGAATTTTTTTTTTAAATATATTGAAAATTCATGTAAGTATTTCCCAAATACAGAGGTATATTTTTTATGGGTGAAGTTCTACTGTCAGTACAACTTCTACCAGTTATTTATCTACACTCAGTACAGAAACAAACCCTTTAATTTCAAAGCAATTAGTGAAGCCAAAATAAAAGTATTAATCAAATGTCTTAGCTTCCTCTATGGCAGCGATGTTCAGCTATGCAAATTAAGAAACGTTATCACCTCTAGTTAGAGGAGATAGAAAAAATAACTACAGCACACACAAAAATATTGATAGCAGGTGAGTAAATGCAGGAAAACAAAGGTTGGGACAATTGGTTTATGTTTGTGTCCTTAACAACAAAGACTGTATCCAAATTTCTCTGTTCAAATAATCTACGATTATATTATAACAGACGCCGCGCAGCAATTTTGAGTATCCGCGCAGCTAATTTCCATGTAAGTGTGTGTTGGTGTTTGTGGGTTGTAAAATTTTGCACACAAAAAATATGATGCTGTAAAACTTTGCACACAACTGTATGATTTTTGCACATGAACCAGCAAACCTTAGAGGGAACATTGTTTGGGGTATGGCTTAAAAACTTTGCCGACCCCCTACATCCCTGCATATATTTTACTATGGTTTTGATAAAAGATTCGTCAAAAACTATAGGCTATATTTATATGTCATGTGGATGTAAATGAACTTCATGAAGAATCATTCTAATTGTTATCTGTGGTTATTATATAAAATTAGCTATAGCGCACCAAAAAATGGCAACCCAATGCATGAACTTCCCATCTATTAAATTTACTAGTCAAAACGGGCATTTAAGTAATGCACTTTATAAGATTCCAAATTATCCCCCCCCCCATCCCATCAAAGCCCATGGCAGGCTATATTAATATTCTAATAAGTCCAACCCACTTTTATACCATAGATTTATTATACCAATAGTTATAGTCTGTCAAACAATGGTGGCGGCAATCTAAACTTCCCATTAACTAAAGTTCATTTGACAAAACATGAGCTCAAGTATTTCACTTAATAAGAATCCAAATCTGTACTTCACCCCTTCCCCCAAGTTTGCACCCGCACACTTTTTTCACGCCCCTGAACTATCTTAATATACTAAGCAAAATTGTATCAAAATTTATCGAAAATGTATTGAATAATAATAATATTTTTGGTTGGGTTTTATGACAAAATTACTTTGACTTTGCTTGTGAGTAGCAGTTGTCAGTAGTAGTAAGTTACAATAAGTAGCAATGATTGAATGAGTGTAGCAATGAGTTAGGCCTATTTGCCTATTATAATTATAGTATATTAGTAAGTAAGTTAGTCAAACTCAAAAAGGCTTAGACAAGGCCAGGGACTAGGCCTGATTCCCACTGAGTGGATTTGTGATTTTATTATATTATACTTGCAAACTACCACTTACTAGGGTTATTATATTACTATTACTGTTAATAAAGTTGTATAAAGTAATAAAGCAACAGCAACAGTCATATAATTATAATCATTAGTTGACGCTGTAATTTAATGTAAAGCTTAAGACTTAAGTCAATGAATTAAATAGGACCTGAACGCCGCGGCGGTGGAAGCAGCTTAGACTTAAGAACAATTATAAGTTATAGACCTAGCCCTAAACTAAGGGTTTTGTCATTTTGTGTAGGCTTGGTTCACACAACACGATACCACCGCTTATCGTTCTCACCGTCGTACCGTTTCTATCCAGGTCACAAACAAAAAAAGTTAGGCCTACATTTAAATATTTTAAACTATCTTTTTTTAAAGAATGAACAATAATAGCGAAGTAAAAATGAAATAGGATCAAAACAAACTTACTAAAATACTTAACCTACCTCCAGTTCAACACTCCGTACTTCCAAAAGGTGAACCATTGCAGTTCCATAAACAATAAGAATAAACTGTGCTAATGAACCACAAAATTCTTCACATTCCGAGCCTCTTTGTATGGTTGTTCAATGTTGCTTGACCTTTTTTTTCGCTACTCTCTAAGCTATAAACATTATTAATATATGATGCATCAATGATTTTTCACAAGATGCAATAAAAAATTACATCTATAAACCTAATAAAATTATTTTCAATAATTCAGCGTTGTATAAATTGTACTAACTTACTTAAGTTTCTAAATTTTTAAGTAAGATGTATGTTTAGAGTTTATTCTTGCCACAGAGACCACCATGACCTAATTCTTGGGTCAACAGTGGTTTTCATTTTTACCGCCACACCAGGTACTTGTTCCAAATACAACACTTTGTTAGATGGAGGACTGAAAATCTTATTGGTTGATTAACTATATTTTAACAAAATAACTTTATTAATAAATGCGAGTCATTCATCATAACACCAATTTCGCTCAAATTGTTAGTTAGGCAAATAATATATGAATAATTTAGAGAAGTAAGTCTTGTTTGAGAACTTGATTTTATTAACAACCAACTTACCAAGACCAAGGGCAAGGGAACAAAAATATGTTTTATTTTTTAAATAAATGCACACAAAAATGGAACCAATGTCACACTCAGGGAATGGTCAATTCTAGGTCAGTTGCTTAAATGACTGAAGTATTTGCATTTTTTTTTAAAAATATTTACCACACAAAAAAATTGTTTAGGCATATGTGTGTGTGTCGTCATTTTAGTTTCTATTGTCAGATAATTAATTGCCTGTACAAACAAATTTTAGTGAAATTGTTCACAGTCAATGCAGTTACGAAATCTTAGATGTAGGCTAGCATATCCATATTTTATTGTTGTTGTTGTTTTTTTTTTTTTATTTGGGCGGATTAATGACTTAAACAGGGTGAATTCTGACAAATAAGTTCCCACTAGTGTATATAAGTTTATAAATTAATATTGTAGGAGTAAACATCGACTGAAACAATTCTGAACTCTGTGATATTACAACTATTACTTAGATCCANGGTACATTCGTCTGTCAGGGGGGGGGGTGGGACAAAAATCAGATAAATTAGTGTCACGTCATTTATGGATGGTCTCTTGGTTTTAATTTATATTGACCATTTGACGTTCACTTTAATAGGTCCACAAGATGCTATAACTGTAGCGGGATACTTGTAAAACAATGGATATTCCATTTAATATACCTTGAAAAGTTTACAAATCAAAATTATTGCAAATTAAGGTAATGAATAGAATATTGCTTTAACAGTTACATGCATTTAAAATAAAATATATGTGTAATATTGAAGAAGAAAAAAAAATTTACTTGTATAATTGTTATGATTAATTCGCGAAATTACTGCAAAAACATAATAATCATATATTAATATTATAAATAGACAAATTAGTTGATATAAAAAGGAAAAGTCAAAATTTTTCAGTTTGTCAAATTCTTTTTACTTTCTGTAAAAAAAAACAATACATGTACAAATGACCAAAAAAGTTTTACAAAAGATAAAATTATGAATTTATCTTGGAAATAGCGTGTATCTCGGCTGTAAGATTAACCCCGTACAAGAATGCGGTAAATATTGCAGAAAAATCCGGGACTTGTCCCCCCCCCCCTTCCCCCTTTTCCCATTTTGGTGACGCTCAACCATTCTATTTTAGCTCACTCGGGAGGTTTCCCTAATGATAATTTATCTTGGAAAAAGCGTGTAACTCGGGTGTAAGATTAACCCCGTACAAAAATGCGGTAAATATTGCAGAAAAATCCGGGGCTTGTCCCCCCCCCCCCCTTCCCCCTTTTCCCATTTTGGTGACGCTCAACCATTCTATTTTAGCTCACTCGGGAGGTTTCCCTAATGATTTTAAAAACAAGATCAATTCCACACCGGAACAATTATCAACATATACTACATTAGGCCTACGTATTACGAAGGTTCTGCGTAAGAAAGTTAAGTAAGTAATTTAAAATTTAAAAATGACAGCACAGCAACTACTTATTAGTAATATTAATTATTAAATTAAGCACTAGCAGTCGTCAGGCATCACACTGATAGTGATAGTAAGTGATGCTGATGACTGATGAACTTAAGACTTAACTTAAGATTTAAGATAAATTAGTTTAAAGAAATAAAAGTTAAGGCAAGTTAAGGTGAGTGAATCTTACCTACTTACCTAGTAAGTTTAATTTTAATTAGGTAGGCACTCTTGACTCTTACTGAACAACTTATCATACTCATAAGTCATATTCATAATAATATAATTTATAATCAAAGTTATTTAGTTAATGACTTACTGTTACTTAGACTTAGTCTTTAGTTAAGTTTTAGTAAGACTTAGGCTTAATTAGGCGTAGGTCTTACTCACTTAATAATCGTATCAGTATCAGACCTTACTCTTACTCTTATTTAGTAGTCTGATTAGTTAATCAAATATATATAAAATATAATTATAATAATATTATAATATTAATAATATAATAACTATGAATTGAATATGAATTATGGTGCTAAAATTATCAACTAGACTAGGGCTTAATCAGGTGCAGTTTTTTTTAAAACCAGTTCCGGGTATTTTGAGAAAATACCTAGTGGGTTTAGTGTTCAAAGTTACTGTTACAAAAAAATGGTTAACTTCTCATTTTCTGTACTATAACTATAATACAAAATCTGCTGCCCTATGTCAACTCATAGTGAGAGTGCATTGCCATCATCAAACGTTATGTCAAGAAATAACCCACTGATCTGATACTGATAGCAACAGGCATTTGCTGGAATCCGGAATAGTATAGAGATGATGCTGTGCAAAAACTTGCCAACAGAGAAGATGCTGTTGTTCATTTTATAACAAAGACTCACGAAACAACATTCGCAATACAATGAAAATAGCAATACCTTCCTATACCAAGCTATGGAAAAGACTCCCTGGTGCACATGCCCCAATTGAAGGGATTGCTCATGACCCAGTTCTGTGTGGTGTGCACCCTCTGAACAAAGATGTGAAAAGACAGTGACATTTTAAAAAAACCTATTTAACAGAGTTCAGACCTTACGCAAGAAGCTCATTGTGTGACAAAGGAACAGAAACAATGACAACACCAAATAATAGTAGCCTCTCCTTAGGAAAAAAAAATCAACATATTTACCAGTGTTCAGACGTCACGCTTGGACACGGGGGACTGCATTCAAGCCTTGTGAAATAAATAATAGTGGAACAAGATATGTTTAACTTCATCATCATGTCCCTTAGTCCTTGGACCTTTTGAGCGCCACAGATGACATGAAAACTATCCTTCTCCATTCCTCTCTGTTTTCCGCACTTTGCACAGTGTCACCTAGTTCAAGTCCCGTCCACTCTTTCATGTTATCTTCCCATCTTTTTCTCTGTCTTCCTCTTCTTCTCCCTCCTCTTGTTGTGCCCTGCATGATTTCTTTGGCTCGAGCCCTTGTTTTCTTGTGAAACCAGGGCAGTGCGAAAGAGGGCAGTCGCCCCAGTGCCGAAACCATCATAATCCATACCATATTCATTGATGAAACAGGTGCCATTTCCAAGCTTGCCCCAGTGCAGCTTTTACTTTGCATGGTTCTGTTATTAACCGTCATGAGCCTGGCTGTTAAAATTGTTTTATCATTGCATTTCCCCATGACACCTTTCTGAAGGAACATGTCAATAAGATAACTGTTTTCTTTTACTTCCAGCTGACCTACTGAGGCATACACTCCTACTTCAGTGATTTCTCTAAGTTTGGGAGGGACCAGTTTTAGATTCTGAGTCTCTACCCTATTCCAAACTTCCAAACACTGCTAAATTATATTTTTTATCTAACACTTTAACACTTCACAAAATGTCTTTCTTTAAACATTTATGTCAGCTGTGAAGAAAACAAAAATTACACTTATTTATGACAGCATACAGATGACTAGCCAGGCTTTAACACTCAATCTGTTCTGTTTGAGTGATGTTACAAATAATCACAAATAAATATTGTTGAGTTTTTTGACAAATTCAAAAGTAAACACTGAAGACTATAAATGCTTTTCAATAGTTTTATTCATGTCCAATGGAAATTTAAAAAAAAAAAAATCTGGTGGGGACTTGCCTAGTCCAATGATGATATGCCACTGATTTAAAACTTTTTAAATATTTCAAATAAAATTTTGCATTTTATTTTAGTAACTTTATTCAAGACCATGTACCAACGATAAGTCTAAATAAGTCTCATAAGCTGATTCAAGGCATTAAATCATTAAAATAAAAAAACAATCATAGACTGGTTAAAAAAATTATAGATGGCAACACTATTTGAACCTCTTGTGAAAAGAAATCAGGCAATGTCAATTTAAAAAATACAGGCCTGTTGATAGCATATTGAGTTGTCTGCTTTACTTTTTAAAATGTCACAAAATAGCAGCTGTTCAAAATTTTATTATGTCGACTTCCATCCATTATGAAATTTTGGTCTTCACATATTGTTAATCATTGTTATGCTTCACAGATAAGATATGCAATTTAAACTATCTTTTAGCCAGCAAACCACTTTAGGACAAATACAATTTTTCTACAGCTTTCTTTTGTTTCGGTTTGATGTGTGGAAACTCTGAAGATTCTCCATTTCTCTATGAAGTATAAATATAAGCTAAAAATTAACACATGTTTATCTATTTATCCTTTGTCCAGATTAGGAATAAAGAAACTTAAGAAAGCATGCTACTTCAAGAGTTTTTAAAACTATTGAATGATATACTGACACACAGGTAGCATTTAGCAATAATTATGTTAAATATTCTTTTTCAAAAATCATATATATATCATTTAAACTTTTAGTCTCCAAGAAGCTTTTTTTTAAATTTTATTTTGGAAATGCAATTTATAATTTAAATTCAATTTTAACCATCCTATTTCACACATTTAAATATTTATTTAATGTTAAAAATTAAATAAAGTAAAATTCTAGATTTCTTAACTTTCAACGTAAAAGCTACACTTATAATTTATTCAGTTCTATTTCCATATCTTTTCACTACAGATCAGAAGATGTACCAAAATATGTGAATATTTTAGAGAGCTTGTCAAAAGAGCTACATCATGCTGAAAATGTAAAAGAATTCAACGATACTGGGCAAGATTTTGTATTTACCTTCAGTAAACTAGCATTTGAAGCATATTGTCATGCTTTGACATCAGCTAAGCTAGCCAGAGCCTTAGATAAGGTTAGTCAGACAGCTTTCCATTTTATCAATATGCTGAAGTGCTTTATTACAAGGAAGTTCATGTTTTAAACTATATAAATTTTCTTATATAAAAATTTATTACAATACGTTTGTGTAAAGTATTTAAGTATCTTTCACTATAGTTTTTTTTTTATTGATAATTAACATTTTAACTAAATGATAAATCCAGGTATCTATCTAATCGCAAATTTGGTTATTAAAATAGTTGTACTATTCTGTATTTTTTTAGGTTAAAAAAATGTTAAAGTGGAAATTGTATTATTGTATGGGAAAAAAATACATGTTTTTTTGTGCTTATAGGCTCTTAGATTGCTTCCCAGTCCTTATATTACTTGTGTTAATGAGGAACTTGAAAGAGTTCTTCAACATGTCCTCACAGAAAACAAGCTTGTGGAAATTCAACTATGTAAGTAGACTGATGTTTAAAAATAATTAAAAAATATAATTTAGAAGTGGTTTCAGAATATATTTTTATTTAAAAAAGATATCACTTTAAATTAAATTATTTGATTCTTTAACCATTTGTATACAAATGATTGTTTTAATTTTTGTTTTAAAAGAGTTACATTATTTACTTTGCAACTAGCATTGTACCTTTAAGAAGTAGTTATTCTTATACATTTAGTGTGAAAATGTGTTTTGTAAAATCAGCATACTATTTATTGTTTCTATTATGGCAAGTGTCGTCACTGCTGGAGCAAAATCCATTAGCAAAAATGAAAGCAAAGAAACACTTTGTTGCCATCACAAAGATATTAAGGAACTTGTTGTGTTCATATATTAATGGAGAAATAACCCATGATGGAGAAATGCCTGAGCAAAGCCATTATATTTGCAAGGTAAAATATTAATTCATTAATTTGATTGATTAAATAAATGTAGCCCTATTATAGAGATAATAAATGACTTAAAATTATTTTTTCTTTGAACAACTAAAATGTTATAACTTTTCACATTTATAGTTATCTATACAAGTGATACAGCTGTTTCCACAAGACATCCAACAATTGTTCACCGCCAGTGTGCCACAGCCACAGCCCTTGTGTCATCAGTGGGAAGAGATAGTGTTAAAATTGATACAGCTTCTATTACAGGTCACCACTTTACTTTATTTGAGCCTTAAATTTAATGTCTTTAAAAATCAGTTGAGAAAGTTAAAGATTCCTTAGCTGTGAGTTTGATTAAGATGGTTTTTTTTATTCCCATTTAGTCTACAAACCGGGATCTACTACTATTAATAGGAACCTCTCTGGCAATGGCATTGAATTTAACACAATCTCTGGATTCAATTCAGAATGTGTATAAGGACTTGATAGCTGTACTTTTGAAAGGTAATTGACAGATTTAAAAAATGTTATTAAACCTGTTTGCATCCCTTTCTGACCTACAAATAAGTAGTATAAAAAGTCCACCAAAGCCACTGCAAGGGTAGGTAAACTTATTAAAGTGATGGCATGTGTTTTTTTTTTTTAATGCTCTTGTTTATTGAAATGTGTCTTTTAGTTTTATTTTGTGTATCTATCACAATATTTATAAAATGTTAAAGTTTCATTTTTTCATAAAATTAATCAAAATTAATTAATTTAGCAAAATATATACTATAAGGAATCAGATATATATTCCCAGTCCACTATATCATAGACTGAAAAATGGTAACAGGTTTTGAATGTCAAAGATGTTTTATTTCAATAATGCATTTTTAATTTAATATTTCCTTTCAGAGAAAATCTCCATTAAAATGAAAGAATTAGAGATGAGCTTCGACGGCAGTGTTGGAAATGATTCAGCACTTCATGTGGTTGCCGTCATTAAAGGCTTGCTTGTCAGCTGTGACAAGGAAGCCCTGTGCTCTGGGAACTTCCCTCTGTTGCTAGAAGTTTTCCCAAGAATTTTACACCTCTGTCAAGGTCCTGCAGAACATCATTATCTAGCTTTCCAGATATTTGCACTGTGGTATCAAAAGTTGACACAAATGAGCACAACTAAATGGAATGCAGTGAAATCACAATATCTCTCTCGGTGGTCCCTTAAGACCCAAGACTTTTGTTCTAGTCCTCTCAATAGCATTAATTTTATTTTACTTGATGGTGAATGTAGCAGCAATATTGTCAATGAAGGAGCTCTCATGTCCAAAAACTGCCCAGTTCTTCATTCAACACTTTCCTGCATTTGGCTGAACTGGGATAGTCCAGTGGAAGGTGTCTCTGAGTTGGTCATTGAAGTTTTCTCCCACCTGCTCAGTTTGTGGCACCAGTCTATGAAGGATGGAACGAGCGACAATAAAGACATGTGTCAACTGCTGGTCAGTGGCTTGCTCACCGTTGGTTGGCAGTCAAGGAGTAGATATAGGCCCTTAAGCTTGCTTATATCATATGTTGATGGCACAAAGGTATTTCTTGTTAGAATTGAAGACTCATTTAAACTCAAACTGACATAAATATTTTTCAGTACATTTTTTAAAGATTTTAATTGAATGATATTTATATTATACTTTAAGCCAAATTAAATACTCTCTTCATTAAAGACATTCTGTTAAAATTTTGAATGGAAGAAATTGTTTGAGACCCATGGCTAGTTTCTTCTCAATGGTTCTTTGATAAGTAGCTGCACTATTGATTTCAGCTAATCCAAGACCATCCCCAACTACAGAAGGACTTACTGGACTGCATGAAAACCAATCACATGGCTGCAACAGCCACTGACGTGTACAGAGCTTTTCTCCAACAAATTCTGTGAGTGTTAGTCTTTTTTAGTTTAAATTCGGACTAAGACACTGTTGATTGCACATAATTAAACTGATTACAGATTTACACTCTAACAATTTATAGAGTTATTTTAGGTGGGAAATAATTGAAGATTGAAACATTTCTGTGTAAGTAAATGGTGTGCATACTTTTCCTTATCTAAAGGTAAGCTATTGAAATTCAAATATTTATTTCTTGACAGTTCAGTTGATAAGGAAAATACCACATGTCTGTGGAAAGAGTTGTGGATGCCAACATTACTAACAGGTTTAACATCGTCCGACAGGTAAGCATCAAATTTCAGTTTGATACAGATTTGTTTAAAATGTATGGGATAAAGAGCATTTTATCAGCAACATACTAATATTATTCAGTCCTGATCCCCCAAGTCTGTGCATCTGTTGCAATGCCAAGTCTGTGCATCTGTTGCAATGCCAAGTCTGTGCATTGTTGGATTCCCCCAAGTCTGTGCATCTGTTGCAATGCCAAGTCTGTGCATCTGTTGCAATGCCAAGTCTGTGCATCTGTTGCAATGCCAAGTCTGTGCATCTGTTGCAATGCCAAGTCTGTGCATCTGTTGCAATGCCAAGTCTGTGCATCTGTTGTATCGGTGGCGCTGTCTTCGGGGTTTTCTGTGTGCTGAAATTATATCAGAAGAAAATTAATGTATTTTACAGCATTAAATATATATTGTATTGAACATTATGTTCTTTTCACAATAATTAACTAGCTCTAATTTAGATTTTGAAATTAAGGTTATTAAAATTTATTTTGTACTTCATTTTTAGTCTACAGCGACAAAAAATGTGTACTTATTGGTTGCCACTGACTCTTGAATTGATAGCGAATAGTCCTGCTGTACTCCTTGATGCACTGGAACCATCATCTGTGTACAGACAACATAACCACAAGAACAGTCTGTTTGGATGGGTGACTGTTTACCGTGCTGTAAGAGCTTTGATTCAAGTGAGTAGTTTGGATGGGGGACTGTTTACAGTGCTGTTAAGGCTTTGATTCAAGTGAGTTGGATTAACCTGCAATAAGTTAATTAACCATACAAATTCAGAATTTTTTTACTTTAGACACTAAAAAAACTCAATGTAATTTAGTTTGCTTTTCAATAAATTTAAATGTTGATAATGTCTCCCTTGTTTTGGTACAGTATTATAAAAAAAGTTTATTGTTGTTGTGATAGGTCCCATGGCCACCAGCTCAGTCTTCTGTAGAGTTGTTACGAGAAGCCCTGTGGTGTACAGATGAGGCTACAAGGTCTGAGGCATTCCTCATGTTGTGTTCCACTATGAAAAAATCAGGTACACATTTTGACAGTTTAATTTAGCAACTTTTAATTCAGTGCAATCTTATTTTGGCTAGAGATAAAGATTCATTAGAATATTAAATTGAATGAGTTCTTTCTGGTTATGTTATTAGATTTGGCATTATTGTTTTAATTATTAAGGAAAACTATATAAACGTTAACGCCTTTTGAGATTTTTCTGTCGCTGATTTTGAAAAAAAACACTAAAAGTAGTCACATTTTCAGAGATCGGCCCCCATCCCAGATAAAAGTATTAAAACATATCCACAACAGACTATAAACACATGTGCTGTGGTAAATTACGTTTCGTAAATATTTTTTTTAATTGAAGTATTATGTTTTTAATAACTGGCCATGTCATCTCTAAGAACCAATCTCAGAACTGGAAGCAAGTCTTTTACAAGAGTTTATTCCAGCCAATCTCAAAACTGACTCGGCAGTTTTCCGTCAGTGCTTGACTTCTGGTCTTAGGAAATTGTTGGTGAGAATTAGAGACAGCTGTTTGTCTGCAATCAAGAGGAAAAAAATGGATCAAGACTTTCTTCGTGAGGATATTTCAATTTGTCTTTCGTATACAGAATAATAAAGACCTAACATTTTGTAACCTTCTGTTGGGAAAACAAGATATAGAGCCCTAGATGTACATGTGGGGTGGGGTGGAAAGGGGGTTACACACGGCACTCCATACACATTTTATGCAACATCCCCTTGTTGCACCCTGTATATTTTCATATAATCCAATACATATATATTATATTATACATTAATAATAAGCTAACATCACATGAGCACGGCCAAATGTATAAGAAATTCAACCAAAGACTGTTCTACCTCAAAAAACTGTACAATTTCGGCGTAATCAAACAAGTCGTTAACTTATTCTATAGTGCAACAATTGGATGCCTACTTAATTTCAATATTACCTGCTGTTGTGGGAATTCATCGTCTGATATTAAACACCGAATAAACAGACTAATCAAGAAAGCTAGGATCATAACACAAATAACACGAATAGCCGCTACTCGGACCCGGGTCCCTTTAGACTAAATCCCATTCGGATGTCATTTGTGGTAGTTTATTTTAGTTAAACTGAAGAAGTAAGTTTACAAACATGTAGTCAATTCAGTTATCTTTCATTTGATACCTCATTTTTTTCTTACAAACCCAACAATATTTTAAATAGTTTTTTAATCCCAACCTCTCACTTCTGATACCCAGTTGCGAATAGCCACTTCGTTCACTGAGTGGCTTTTTTTTTCACTTGTGAATTAATTTAATATAGATGTCTCGTGTTCAAATGGTTTTATTATGTGCTGAAAATGTACAATGCAATAAAAAAACAGTTCTATTTGTTTGGATCAATAAAAGAATCTTATCTAATCTTATCTATATGCACTGCTAAGGAAAGTCTAAATTATAACTATGACAGCCATGGGTTAAGATTCAATGACTTTCATAAATCTTGCATACATGTGCTTATGTTGAGAGTACTGCCCCCATTCTTTTAACCAAAGCACTGCAAATGTGTCCCATTACTAGGCAACGAATACAACATTTTAGTGATGATTTTTATTATTCGTTATTAACAGTTGTAGATGACAAATTTACAATATTTTATCCAAACTTTTTCTATTATTTGCCACTCAAAATAAATTCAAGCTACTTTTAGGCAATACAATAGCTGAGTACAATGAATATTCTCTTCTTGAGACACTTAACTATACAGTTGTAAAGCTGGAAGTCAGTTATAGACAAAAATTAAATTGACCGATTAAATAATAGAAAGATTAAATTTGGTTAAAGTTCTCTGATGGTATTAATGAAGTTATTTATTGATTTGTGTGCAAATTAATGAAATCTTTTGATAACCATGACTTCACAGAACGGGGTGTTAACTTTGTGGACCAGTTACATCAAGTCCTGATGTTGAGTTTAGCACCAGGCTCATGCTATCAGCGGAGACAGACAGGTTTTGATCTGCTGGCAGCACTGCTAGAAACTCTGGTGTTTGACAAGCAAGACACTTCCAAGAAAGGGAAGGCTCCAGGTAAATGGGGGGTGTGAAAATAACTATTCGCTGAGGCAATAAATTATGTGACAAATTGAGGGGAGGGAGGGGGAGGCTTTGCTTTTTTTGTAGGTCTTTCAAAATGTAAAACATGCTGGTTCATAACCTCATAACTGTCCTGGGTCCTGAAGATCTTTATAACTATCAACTAGAAAGTAAAGTTGTGCTATTCCAAATAGCCGTCTGTAATTTCCCTTGTTTTCCCAATGATTTTGACAGATTAAAATAAAATTGATAATAAAATACAAAGCTATATTGGGTTAAGACATACATTTTGTATGGATACCAACCATTGCAATCATGCCTCAAACAGAATTGTGACCTGTTAGTAGATCCACCATTTGGAGCCTACAGATATGTCTCCAACATTAAAACTAATATTTAAAAAAAAAGTAAAAGTACAAATGTTAGCAGACTATTTATCTATTTGTAAATTTCATAACGTGCTTTCAGAATCCTCTGATACGCTGCTACATTTTGCTCAAACAAGATACATGTGGAATTTCTTTAGTGATGATAACCTGCATGTAATTTTGATATGTTTACAAGATGGGGCTGAGGAGGTAATGTTAATATTCTTTTCTTCTTTTAACTTTGAATAAAAAATGCTCATTCAGATTCTTATAACTTTTATCTTGAAGAATTAACAATAATTGTGTGAGAACAGCATTAGGTCATTGAAGATCTTGCCGTACTCCTTTAAAACCACAGCTTGGTTTAATCCTCTAGTTATGTACAAAAATGATTTCATTGTTTTCTCCCTTTAAATGTCAGGTCTTCTCCCTTTTTAATTGAAAAATGAAAAGACTTTATTGCATTTTTTTTTATCAGATTCAGGCTCAGTGTTGCAGTCTCTTAATGAAATATTTCCAATGGCCAACAGAGAACTCAAGTGAGAGTTTTAAAATTCTAAAAGTAATTAAAGAGACCAAGGCTGATATGTTAGCTTCAAGTCTAGCCACTGAATCTGCCATACTTCACATATTGAATCATGGATTTACACTTACCTCAAACCCAAGAGCCTATGAGAACAACAGTGGATTGCTTATCATTTCTTTGATTCTTAGAAAGTGAGACATTGACTTCATCTGTTTATCTTTAATATCATATCTAACAACCATATTCTACTATTGTCATTGTAATTCCAGGAAATCTGTCAGATTTTACAATGTAACAAGTAACAGGAAGAAGAAAGGAAACATTTATTTGTGTTGCTTGAATACAAAGCTTTAGGTTATTAGATTTTACCAGCTATCATTTTTACACAACATTTCCAGGTATGTCTTGGACAAGAACATGGTTTTCTGCTTAAGTGAACCTGAAATATTGGAGATGAAAGACTGCCCAGAAACAAAACAAATCAGGATTGGCAGCTCAGGGGCTTTAGAACCTGGTCAAGCAGCCACAGCATTTATGGACTTGTTGGTTGGTAAAGTCAAAACATCTTTGAATGCTGTGATGAACAATTTTTCTGCCGAGTTCAAGGTCCATTCAATGCATGGTATGTAAAATATAAATATAAATTTCCGCTGATAATTGTCTGTTCATTAACATTCTTTTAGAACAATAATTAAAACTGGGAAGGAAAATTGCTATTTTTTAAAAATAAAACAAATTATTAAAATATATAAAAGTTCATTTTGAAACAAATAATGATGCTATTTACTATTTCTATAATTTTCTCACACGAAAGTCAAATGAAAACCAGTAACAATATAAAATGTAATATACCAATGGCTTCTTAAAAATTAAATTATCAACAATAAAGTTTATTTAATAGCAACCAAATGGAATCTTTAAAAAAAATAATTATTTTTATGTTCACTAAGTTGGCTCCCATCACAGTTTTTTTTATTTCATTTTAGCCACTGTGCACCAGTTTTGTTCACTGTCAATTTTAAAATGTTATCTTAAAAAATTAAATCTGAATGTTTGTTAATTAATTGCCCCCAAATGTCAGGTTTAACAAAGTGCATCACTCAAAGTTTGGTGAAGATCTCCAATTTTTGGAGACAAGAAATAAGGACATACCCTGATACTTGGATCAACCGGCTGGAGGAAATTGTTGATGTTAACCAAACCATAATCAGCCTGGCCCTGGATGTGTTAGCAGGGGGCAAAGCTATTGGTGAGTTGATATTGATATTAATCAATAATAATTTACACCATCCTTTGTACAAAGTGCAGTAAATAATATGTAGGAGAGACAGGTCATCACCTTCGAGACCGGGCTAGTGAATACCTGTATAACACAATTAATCTAAGTACTAAGTATAGTAAGGACACTGCCCCATGTTTTTTTTGTTGTTTTTTTTTAAAGATTTCATTTTCAGCATTGGCTGATTTTAAATGTTAATGTCACTTGATTGCAGTTTATTTTAAATGGAATTGTAAGGCAAACAGTGCTACCATTTCAACAATCAGCTCTTCAATGTATAAAAAAAAATTCAAATTAAATTCTACAGCATGTTGTAGGAGTTTAAAAAGGAATTGTTTAATATTTTATTTATATGTTTCGATTCAGGTTAGCTTTCTAAAGTTAAGTTTTTGTGTTTTTTTTAATAAAGATGATTGTCTGTCTTTTGCTGATGTGGGTGTTGCTTTGACAAAGTTGATTTCTGACAGCATTGAACAGGAAGAGGAGATGACATCTCTCACCCCTGACTTTCAGTTTCTTTTGTCTTGGTGTTGGATAAACCTAAAGGTTGGTGACAGACCTAAAATTTAGTTTAGTTCTTGAAGTTTTAACAATTTGGGTTGCATCTTTAAAAATTGGGGAAATATCTGTATCTGATTCTATTTCAGGAGAGCTGTTCATGTTTAGGAGAAGTTACTGGCATAGTAGTGTCAAACAGTGAACAACAGAAATTTCCATTACAACTGCTGTGCAATATTGGTCAGACTTTAGTCAAAGTTTTAACAACCTGTCGACACAGGGTTAGTAATTAAATTTCTCTATGAGACTCTTCTTTGATGGATTTCCGGATGTTTGATAATTTAAAAAAAATTATCTTAAAAGTTGAATAATTTTTGTTTAAGCATCATGAGGTTTTATTTAAAAAATTGCTTTCCCATTGTGTTAAAAAAAAAGTTAAATTTATGGAAATGAAACTCTTCATTTGAAAACAATATTTTAACTTATTTTTACCATATACAGGGTGCCATTGAGGGATGTAGAAGTGGATTCTATCTGTTCTGTTCTTCACTTCTCTCTAACAATGAGAAGAGGCTCAATGATATTCCCAGAGCTATTTTAAGAAAGGTAAGCACTACCTAACAATTACATATTTCATTGTTATGCAAAACTCATCAATCAAAATGTTATTTAAACATATTATGTCGAGAAATCTCCAACCAGACCAATGAGAATATTTACTTTTGAAATCAACTGACTAATTTGATTTTTATATATTTTTTAAAAATTTACTTTTTTATTTATCCAAAACTACAACTTGAAAGTTCATAGGAGATTGAATTCTTTATCTTCTCTTTTCAGATTTTGGCAAGTTTGCTGGAGAACTCAATGTCATCCTCTGTGACAAGGCGGTCAGCAGGTCTGCCAATCATCATCCAGACAGTTGTGCAAGCAGCTCGTAAATGTGGAGATGTGAGTTTATTGTGTTGTAAACATTTTCATTGCTTGGACTTCTTTATGTCATATCACACTAAAGGCAGTCGAGCAAACTATTCTTGTGGGGGTTAAATACTGAGTAAAAAACAATAACCACCTTGTAGTGGTATAGAAGTGAGATGTCCAAGGTTACCCTGACATACCAAAAAATGAAAAAGATATGTGCTAATTGAAGGCAAAATTTTGTTTATATAGTTTTATTTGATCCTTTTTTTTTTTTTTAATTATTTTATTTAACTGACAAGGTTGTATCTTTTTATGGTTGATATTAAAAGCAATGTCGTATTCCTAGCATATTGTTGAAATGCCTAAGTTATTTTTGTTAATCTCCCAGACAGGTCTTCTGTTGTCCACAGTAGACTATCTGTACACCATTGCCAGCAAACAATTTCCCAACGATTGGAGCCAGCAACATGACTTGAGCCAAAGTCATGCTTTAAATATTCTCAAGGTAACAGTTCAATTTATTGACCCAAATTTACTCCTTAAATGCCATTATGGTTTCTCATTTCCAGGGGTTAATGCTAACCCGGGGAAAATGGGAATGAAGTTTTCCTCATCCCAGGATTTAATTAAAGATATGTTATAAACTGAATTAAACTATAAAAAAATGAATTTTATGGTTGTTTAATTGCTATTGTCTGTTAATGAATTAAAAACAACGTTAAGGGTAGTTGAGAGGTTGTTCACTTGCTTCTAGTTGCTTCATTTTCCACAGTTTATCCCTAGTAATGGATAACTAGCTAATAATATGCTTGTTTAGCAGAAGTTGGATAGAAAGAAACCTCAACACTTTATGAGGTTTGGTTTTATTTACATGTCCCTAATTCTAGTTTTGAATCTGTCATTAAATATTTTCAAGTACATTTGGCTAACAACTAGTAACAAGGCGTTTGTTTCGAATAAAAAACAATTAGGAATGTTTATAAGTATATCTATTTATTTATATGTCTTACTACGTTGACTTTGAAAATAAATTTTTAAAAACACTATGTAATATAAATTTAGTTTGACACATGAACATCTTGGGATAATCAAGTTACTAAAGCACAGGTTTCCAGCTCATGTCAGGTGTCCTCAAATGTGGGTGCAAAAGGGTTATTCATAAATGAAAAGTCTAATCAAGGGTTTTGGGAGGAAAAATGGTTGGGAACCGTTGGACTTAGAGAAGTATTGATTTTTAATTATCTTTTAATTGGTTACTTAAATTTTGAGTTACATGTTTAAAAATGACATAAAATATGTTGTGAATTACATTATAATGGAAAATTAAGTTTTAAAATATTTTCTTTTCCTAGAATTTACCCTTTATAAAAATCCGTCTTTTCCAATATATCGGGGTAAGGTAACTTTGCTTCTATGAATGTGGTCGTGACTTAAAATGCTTGAGAATCTGTGTAATTCAGTGCAGTTAGTTAACTAGATTATTTGGCCTTAGTTCATAACGAAAATTTTTAACAATCTGTCACTTGCTGAAAGGTAAAAAAAAAAAAACTTTTATTAAGTGTGGACCAGGATTTCTTGGGATGGGAAAATTTTCCGGGAGGTCTTGTATTTACTAAAATGAATGGGGGATCCCTGGAGAGAAACCCTAGATGTCATTCATTTATCATTTGGAATTAATCAGCATGACAGACAAAAAAAATGTTTTTAACAGATAATAAGTGAACACTAAGCAAAACTAAATGATTACTAGAGGGGACTTTTAAACTAATCAAATGTTCAGAACTTATTTATTATGAAATAAACTGTTTTGATATTTTGAAATGATGCAAAGAACAAAAAAAATCAACATTCACTAAATTTTAATGTAAAATTATTTACAATTCCTTTCCACTTGAGTTATCCCACTTGTTAACTTCTTAAGTTTTGAGACACTGAACTGTTAGTGAATTTACATATAATTGTAAAAAAAAAAAGTAACTCAAATTTTAATTTAGCGATCGATTGTCAGATGATTCTAATTGATTCAGGTGATTTTCTGTGATGCCAGTTTGGCCCCAGCGTTAATGCCCTTACTGTCAAAGATGACGATTCTTGTTGTGGAAGGATTTGAGTCACCATCTTGGGCCATAAGAAATGCAGCTACACAACTCATTAGTAAGCACATCAAAGTAAAAAAGTCCACAATAGTTTCCAAACTTTACTTGAAAATATATAACTATAAAAACTTCACATCTGAATTTCTCGACTATAAAAGCAATAAAAATGACCTGTCAATAGTTACTTTTGTTCTGACCAGAGATTTTCAGGGGTTAGCATTTCAAGGAACTGACACATATTTTTCATAAATTAATGTCACAAGGCTTAATCTCTTAATTTAAAAGTTACAATACTTACAATGTAGGGGTGTATTGATAATATTTTCTCTAAGAAACAACTTGTTCCAATGCCTATTTCTCGATCTGTCATTGCGTAATCTTTACTTTTTAAATTGTAACTTTGCATGCTATATTTCCAAGAGTTTTTGTTCCAGGTACTCTAGTGACCAGAATCTTTGGTCAGAGAAACCAGCTTGAGAGTGGTAGCTCTATGACCTTAGAGGAATTCAGCTCCTTGTATCCAGAGCTGATCCAATTTGTGCTTGACAAGTTACAATCGCACAGGAAATCCAACATAGCGGTCAGACCCTCTCTGTATATTATATTAACATTGATGTCAGGCATCGGCATGTCTCCGTCCTATCAACACACCTCCAGGCAAGTTGGATTGTTGCTTTTTTAACTTTAAAAAAAAATTATATTCATCCTGTACCAGTATGTACAACTTGTTCACTGGCTGATTTTAAATATCAGTGCTGGTTGATTCCAGTGTATTTAAAATGTAATTCTCAGTCCTGTATTAAATCAAACCATCTTTTAACAGGAACATTAATTCAGATCAGAAAACTATTGCACACCTTGAGCAGTCTTCTATAGTGAGCTGCGTAAAGAAAGCAAAATATCTCCTAGAATATATTGACCAGCCTAAGCATCAGCTAGCCTAGAGGAGAACTGGAAACTCCAAGACTTTGATTTAAAAATCAGAAGGGGCAGTAAGAGATCCTTAACAAAGACATTAAAGCTCACACTCTGGCAAATAACACAAGCAGACGAATGACTGCTTCCCCAAATGCTATAGTCTTTAAGTCCAGAATCAGGCTTCATAGCCACCTCCAGAGATGGAAAGGAATTCACAGCTAATATTGGTAGCCTAAAGTTAAAGCTATCAAATTTGGTAACATTATCTTGGGACAAAGATATCATGAAATTCAGTTCCAATTTTCATGTTTTTTAGTTATTCAATAGTTCATTGCATTTATCACATCATTAATAACTTTTGTTTCCTTGTCTAGTTTAAGGGAACCTTTGCAACATGCTGTAGTTTCCTTCCTGTCCAACCCTGTATATTCACTGCGCAAGTTGTCAGCCAGAGCTCACACATCATTGATTCCATCAGACAGGGCAGATGAATCATTCCAACAAATTTTACGCAAAATACAACTGCGGGGCTCAACCAAAAATGAACTTCATGGATGGCTGATCTGTGCTTTAAATCTTTTATCTTCTGGTTATCTCAGGTATTCATTATTAAACTTACTTACTATTCAAAAATAATTGGTTTGTTAAATCTTAATGTATGTTTTTTTATTGTTTGCGTTTTTTAAAATTAAAAAACCCATTTACCAGAGCTTGCTTGAATTATACAAAAATTGTTTGAGCAAAAAGGAAGTAACTTTTTTCCTGAGTCCCTCTGGGGCCGACTGGCTCATCACACTTAATAAAATATCTTTTCTAGCTCAGAAATGAATTTTATTGTGGCGAAATTTGTCATGGACAACTGTTGGTTGCTAGAGATCTGTCCCTGTCTTCTGGTGCCATCTACTGTAATAGAGATGACATTACTAGCAGTGAAACAGACACCAATTGACCTGCGTCTGCTGGCAAAACTATGGTCTGCTGTCAAGACTTTATTTTCAGTTGTCAGCAGTTCAATGGAAAAGTTTCATGTACGTCTGCTTTAAAGTTACAATTTTTATTGACATTCACTTTACAAGTAGTTCTTTAAAAAAAAAAGTCTTCTTAATGCTCTAAAATATTAAATTTGACAATTTTGTACCATACAGAGTTGATATTTTATTAGTATTGGATTGATTTCATAATTTGTATATGTCTTTGTTTAAATGTGGTGTTTATTCCTTGCTTAAAAACATCATTTCCAGGTAGGGAGTGACCATTGTATGGATGTTTGTATGAAAATGATGACTGCCATCTACCAGAGCTCAGAAGAAGCAAGAACAGTATACCACTCGCAGCTTTGTCAACTATACAGTGAATGTCTTGTCTCACCCCTCAATGGTTTAAGATCCACTGTGTTAGACTTGGTCAAGGAAGAAGGGGACAGTTTTATAAAAGATGAAGAAATACAGGTCTGACATAAGAAATACAGGTCTGACATAAGAAATACAGGTCTGACATAAGAAATACAGGTCTGACATAAGAAATACAGGTCTGACATAAGAAATACAGGTCTGGCATAAGAAATACAGGTCTGACATAAGAAATACAGGTCTGGCATAAGAAATACAGGTCTGAAATAGGAAATAATGGCCTGACTGATTCTCAAAAAGAACTGTTTTAAAATCTGAAATTCTGTTCGAGCAAGTTTTTTCAGAGGAAAAAATGAATGATCTTGGTCTAAATATTTTGACACAAGCATGTTCTCTTTGTTTAAATACACTATTTACTATATATATCTATGTGAACTTAACTAGAGTTATAGATTCATTGGAACATCATGAAAATATTTATTTAGTTTATACTGAATTACAAAAACATAAAATATGATTTTAAACTATACAACAGGATTTTAATTTTTTTTCATTTTTAGAGCTCTCTGACAAAGTAAATTAAATAGAATGAACTCTCTAGGTAAAGGAAATATGTTTTTTTTAATGTCATGACTCTGAAGGTTAATTTGTTGCACTTTTCCTTAGAAAAATGTGTGGATGATAATTTCCCATGATGACAACAGGACAAATGTTACTAAAGCGGTAGATGTGATGTTATCAGCAACTTTAAATGGGGACCTGCATATTCATGACATCACTTTGACAGTAAAAAAACTGTCACATTGCCAAGGGGACATAAGTTCTAATTTTGTTGTGGAAAGCATAAAATTCCATTTTGCTGATGATATGCAATTCATTGAGAGGTATGAACAGACTTAAAAATTTAGATAATTGTTAGCGGAATATAATATAATTAAGGAATATCTTATGAAAACTTTAGATATGTCATTAAGTGTGAGTCACATGACCTATCTTGTCTACTTTAAACACATGTAAAACATAAACTAATTATTTGTCAAACTTATTCAAATTTAAACATATAACTGCTTTTAAAATGATACAATGTGCATTTCTGAAGCTCTGCCATCTCATTATCAGGAATGTTTTAAAAAAAAAAAAATATTTTTAATTAATATGGTCATCCTTAGCTGCAAATTTCAATAGTAATTGTCAATTCTTCAAAGTCTTTCAATCAAGGTCATAAATAAAAAGTGTCAGAAATTTAGCTTAAAATGTCTCAAACTTGATATTATATTCACTGTGTGAACTAACCCAGAAAAACTGACATTGTATTTACTGTGTGAATTACCCCCAGGGCCTGTGATTTAGAAGAGTGGTGTGCACATCTTGTCATCTTCACTAGTCCATCACACAATGAAGACCTACGCCATCTTGCTGCTCAATGTATCAGTGTTGCTGGAGGAAACATTCTTCAATTCTGTTGCAGACACAAAAATTTACCTGGGGTTGAGCAAGCCGTGACATGGTAAGATTTTCTGTAAAGTCTTAAATTTGATTTGGAGTTTCTTGGAAAACATAAGGAGAATTAGCAAGTAACAATTTTTTTTTAACAATTTTTTTTTCAAAGTTTCCATAGCAATTTAAGGGGAGGTTCAGTGAGAAATCTGCGAAAAAATAAATTTTTGATTGTTTCTGGGTTTTGTTATATTTGTTTTCTAAAGCCATCTTTTTAAAAATAATTTTTTACAAAATTATTAAAAAAATGATGCTAAAAAATATTGTAACCCTATAAATCAGTATAAAGTCATTTTTGAGTAAATATACATTTTTGCATATATTCTTTTAGTGTATGTAGAATTGCCCAAATACCTCCTATATGGTATCAATAGAAATCTGGATTTTTGGGGATTTAGATTAACATAGCTTCCTGCCACTGAAAGTTACCAAATGCTTCAATCCACATTTATTCATATTAAAAAATGGTGATTTCCTGACCTACTTATGGGGTCTCTGAATTTCTTATGCATCAACCTTGAACTGAATAAAGCAAGCATTTTGATTGGTTACAGCTGTGGAAAGTTACCAACAGTCCTATGTTGGTAAGCTTGGTTTCAAACTCCAGTAACACTGTCACTTCACAACTACATGCAGACAGAGCAGTGAAAATCGTTATTAACTCGGTGGGAAAAGTGCTCAGAATTTACATTTTAATTTTATTTAATTCAGTCATGTTTAGCAACGCAAAAGTTTATTTAAATGGTTTTAGTTCCAGTCAAAATAAAAAATAAAATTTGTACTGCTAATATTTATTCATTTTTTTGTTTTTTCAGTTTTCCGACATTTGATTTTTTTTTTAATCACAAAAATGCTTATAAATATTTTAATTCTGAACCAATGTACACCATATTTTCTGCATATTTTTATTCAACATAAATAAAGATGGAATAAAAAACTTTATTATAAGTCTTTTGTTAGATCCAATATTATATTTTATATAAACATCACACAAGAAGCCCAATAAAATTTTATATTTTTTCACCCGCGCGTCTCCTTAAGGACACAAATCGGCATGTGAATTTACCAAGGAGTTTGTGATAGTGGTTACAGGCTTGATTTTTTAGCATGTTAACAAGCTTTGAAGAGATGTTGACAAGTTGTAACAAAGACTGAAAAGAGTTAGAGAAGAAAGCTAGAGGCCGGAAGGCTTGGAGAGAAATTTTTGATGGCCTATGCACCAGTGGGAGTTGAAAAGCAAAGAAGAAGGACGTGAATTGGAAGTCTGAAATTGTTTTAAAACAAGGGAAAACTTCTAGGTGGAAATATTTTTGTTCTTCTCGTGTCCTGAATTTTTTTCTCCTATCTTCATGTGGCTCTGTAATTTTTTTATTTTCTTCATGTGAGTTCATCTTTTTTAGTCTTGTTGACTTTTAGCCTTATTAAAGCCAGTCTTCAGCTACTAGAGGACACAGAGACTGAGGTTAGGAGGACGGTGTCCAGGTTCGTGACTCATCTTAGTTGTCAGGCAAGGCTTCATTACACAACAAGCTACTATGTAAGTCCAACAGTCAATTAAATTTTTTATTAAAATTTTCTGCATGCTACATAAAAAAATTGTGTAATGACTAATAGAGACCGCCCGAAAGTGATTTTCTGATTTCGGCCGAAGCCAAAAATAGGCAGAAAGTTTAAAATGAATTTCGGCCGAAACCGAAAAAAGGCCAAAAGTTAAAAATGAATTTCGACCGAAACCGTAAATGAAATATTTAGTTATTTTGAAATTCGTTCCCGTATACATTCTGCATACATCAAAAATGATGTGGGGAAAGTATAAATATTTACATTCTTTTTATAAAAAATTAGATAATCGTGAATATTAATAAATAAACATCTAATATAGGGGTCTCAAACTCTATATTTCTATATATTTTTGTATGCAACAGTGAGTAGGTAGATGGAAGTGAATCCTTGTTCTTGAGAACCCTTAATGATTTAATTGTTATTTATAAAGGTTGAGCAGATTGTAACAGTAGTAATCGCTTTTTTGTGGATTACTTGATGCGGCCCCCCTCTTATTCAGACACTACCTCCTGCGCCCGCCCCCCCCCCCCTTTGATGATTTGAGTTTGAGACCCTTGATCTAATGAATGCTTTGGATTTTACCATTTTAATATAAAAGTAATTTAAATTGCTTTACAATTTTTATTAAATTAGTATGGTAGGAGAAAATTTGGCAAAAATTGGGGGAGGGGGGGGAATTAATGCAAAATATTATTCTTTTAAACCTGGTCTCTAAAAATTGTGGTTCTAAAAGATCGCTTAATTTGTTTTTAAAGATCATTTAGTTGGTTTTTATTGATCGTTTAGTTTGTTCTTAAAGATCGTTTAGTTTGTTCTTAAAGATCGTTTAGATTGTTCTAAAATATCGCTTAGTTTAATCTTAAATATCGCTTAATTTATTCTTAAAGATCGCTTAGTTTGTTGTTATAGATCGTTTAGTTTGTTCTTAAAGATCGCTTAGTTTGTTGTTAAAGATCGTTTAGTTTGTTGTTAAAGATCGTTTAGTTTGTTCTTAAAGATCGTTTAGTTTGTTGTTAAAGCTCGTTTAGTTTGTTCTTAAAGATCGCTTAGTTTGTTCTTAAAAGTTTGCTTAGTTTATTTTTAAAGATCGTCCAGTTTTTGTTAATGATCGCTTTATTTGTTCTTAAAGATCGCTTATTTTTTGTTAAAGATCGCTTAGTTTGCTGTTAAAGATCGCTTAGTTTTTTCATAAAGATCGCTTAGTTTTTTCATAAAGATCGCTTAGTTTGTTCTTAAAGATAATTGATTTTGTTCCTTAAGATCGATAAGTTATTCTTAAAGATCTTTTAGTTTGTTCCTAAAGAAAATTTAGTTTTCTGTTAAAGATCACTTAGTTTATTCTTATAAATCATTGAGTTTACTATTAAACATTTGTTTTGTCCTTAAAGATCATTTAGTTCGGTCTTAAAAATCGTTTAGTTTGTTCTTTAAGATCATTTAGTTTGTTATTAAAGATCACTTAGATTGTTCTTAAAGATCACTTAGTTTGTTTTAAAGATCGTTTAGTTTGTTCTTAAATGCCGCTTAGTTTGTTCTTAAATGCCGCTTAGTTTGTTCTTAAATATCGTTTATTTCTATCTCAAAATCGCTTAATTTGTTCTTAAATGTCGCTTAGTTTGTTGTTAAATATCGCTTGTTAAATGACCGAAAACCTGAGTAACTTTTGGCCAGATGGCCGAAAGTCTAAGTTAATTTTGGCAGAAACCGAAGAAAAACCGAAAGTAAACTTTTCTCTTTCGGCCGAAACCGAAATTAAGCCGAAAGTTAACTTTTCAGTTTCAACCAAAACTTGACCGAAAGTGATAAAATGGCCACTTTCGGTGCCGAAACCGAAGCTCGGTCGGTCTCTAATGACTAAGCCCCCTTATTACAGTTATATGAGAAGTTGTTGGATGTTATGAATTTCTCCTGGTTCTGCTTACACTAAGCTGAATTCGTTACACAGCTGAGTCTCAGTGTACATTTAAACATATCAGTGGTGGACATTTAATTTGCCAAATCTAGGTAAAAGAAGTTAAAATTTGAAGATAAAGTAAAAATAAACTTTTCCACCAGCATATCGCAGATCCATAATGAAAGTGCAATAACTTTAAATACATATATATTTGTTTAATTTTAATGATCAAATCTAACAGCTGGTTAGCTGAGTTGTGCTGATAATGAGCAACTATAGGAGCTGGTTTCCTATAGTTTGGTCATTGTGCTGATTATGGCTGTTTCATAGCAAGAATCCCCATACTGGACTTATTTTTCTTTTCCATTTTTTTCTTAACTAGTACCTGTAACGAAAAGTATTTAAACATGTTCTTCATTTAAAAATTAGGCAAACGGGGGGGGGGGGAGAATATTTTAAAAGAAGTTTTTAAAGGAAAATGTATATAATTTTATAATATAATATTTTTTTTTTGCCACTCATTTTGTCTTTATTTCTAGATTCTCTCAGAATTCATTGTACACAATCTGTCATGGTGTGAGGCAACCATTTACACATTACTCAACATGGTGTATGTGCCAGGAAAACTCTGTCAAGCCATTTCTTCTGTCCAAATCTCAAGGTAATTAATGGACTTAAATTGTATCTTGTTGCATCTAAATTTTTATCTGTCTTTTACAAGATAAAAAAAGTACCATGATCTTGATTGTATGTGTCATATCTCCAGACTCCAGCAGTTGTTTGAACCAGAGACCAGCAGCCCATACTCAGAAGTCCATATGACACAGTTGTGGGCTTACAAAACCATAGAGGTGAAACGAAAGTCCTCATTGTGTTTTTTGTCTGTGAATAAGGAAAGGAGGGGGGGAGGGGGGGCAGTTAATTAATTAAATTTAAAATGAAGAGTGGAGTTTATAAGGAAATAAGTGAAACAAATTATGGGAAAACCTGAAGAAAAAAAATGCAACAAAACAACAAACGTGTTGGCAAGAAGCCTTCATCAGGAAAAAAACAACTGTAAAACTTGTTTCACTTATTTCCCATACTTGGTTTCAGTTCTGTCCTCCTGTGAAAAAGTATGCAAAATAAATGTAACATCCAAATTGTATTGGATTGAAGTATTAACTTGAGTCTTTGTCTCTGACCGCATGGAGAGTTGAGAGTTACTGGTAATGTAGTGTTTTTATTGTGTCACCAGAGTTTAGTCCAATCAGAGTTTCTTGTAAAGCAGCTTAATGTCATGATGTCTGCCACTTTGATGGAGCTGGTCTCACAGATGAAAGTGATCCAAGAAAATGTGATGTGTGAGTTTATGGATTTGATCAATTCTATTGAAATTTAATCTGCTAATAGTTGATGGTTCACACATATTTCTGTCATAGAAATTATGATCCAGGGGGAAAAAAATTGTTTAATTAATTTGAAACAACAGCTGCTCTCCAAGTTAATATGGTCATGCTCATGACTTAAATGTCTCCACTTAAATGTGGTCATACTCATGATGAAAATGTCTCCACTTAAATGTGGTCATACTCATGACTAAGATTATAGTATTTAGTTTTAGCTTTTGGCAGCTAATCCAAATTAACTAATTTCTATTTCATCAATGTAAATTTTTTTACTTTAAATGCTAAAAATTAAGATTGTGAGCTGATTAGGGAAATTTTGATAGGTAAAGTCCCATAAAATACCATTGCCTGTAGCTTAGAGGATATCATAACAAAACTAGCATTGAGAAATTATTTATTTTGAATAAGTTGAATGGGGTACTACTTCTAGCTATTCGACAATACATTTTTTAATAATTTTTAAAAATATTGAACAATCCATCTATCCATCTAGATGTACTTTTATTTTTATCCTACTCTGGCAAACTGTCATATATATATCAAAAAACTCTTATCCTTAGAATTTATATCATATAATACAGAATAATTGGTGATGATTTTTTTTTTTTTTTTTTATTCATCTGTTTGTTTCTAGATTAATTTTAAAAACCTCCATTTGCCAACAGCCCAGCCTATTTTTAACATGACCTGTGACGGCAAAGTGATGTCAGCAATTCTTGGGATTCATCTGATCAGCCAACTGTATAAGAGTTGTAGGATTCATTCCAGCCCAATCAGCTCTGATGGAGAAACTTTGCAGGAACTTGTTATAAAACTTCAGCAGGTAATTAGAACTACTTTCAACTAAACAGACAAAATGAACAGAAGTAGAAGTATTTAGGTTTGGCCCTGTATCTCCTAGCTCCTCTTATTCATTTGGTTAGAATGTGTGTGCTTTTATTTAGATTTTCAATATCAAATAAAATTATTATTGTTGCAAAGTCTACATATTTTCTCCTTTGTACTTGAAGGTTTAGTCCAACAACATTTCAGTTTAAGGAGATATCCAAGTATATTTTTGTTTCCTTGTTAATCCTTTAATTGCAGAGTCCTTCCCTTCATCCATTCCTGCGCAGAAACCAGTTTGATTGCGCTCAAGTCAGACCATCTATCTTAGATCAATTTCAACATTTTTAGGTGAATGAGAAGCTTATTTAAAAGCTTTTGACCTCCATAAGTTTCAGTCATTAAATGAAAATATTCCAAAGCTGCATTCAAAAATCATTGTTTTGTTTTTTGTTCTAATATATGTTTGAACACAAATTTTTTTTTACAAAGATTTCCTCTAATGAAACTCTTTATTTTCAAGTTAATTGAATATCAGCAAGTTGTTACTGATAATATCTGGTGGCATTAAAGATTTCAATTTAAAAGCTGAAATATCATGAGGTTGTATTAAGAATGTGAATGCTTCCAGCCTTGACCTTTAAATACTTCCAGCCTTAACCTTTAAATACTGCCAACTTAACTTTTAAATTCTTCCATGTGTAAAGATTTCATCATTTGACATGACTTGCACATCAGAGCTTGAATTAATAAAGACAAAGGCTAAAATAATTTATTTACAATTCTCTTTTTATGTATTTAATTGTATGCCTCGAAGAGCTAAACAGAGCTATGGAACTGACAATCTAACAGACTAACATTAAAAAAGTGAGCAAAAAAAGGTGACTTCCCTGGAGGGGGAAAAAAGTAAATACAGAGGGAAGGAATATTCTTTGGTCTAAATTCTTATGGCTTAAAAAAAAGGAAAAGAATGCTCTTAGATTATCATACAATTTAGCTTGTTGAAGATATAAGTATTCTAGAACCCTTGAAGATATGAGTGTTCAAGAACCCATAAAGACATGAGTACTCTTAGAATCCTTGAAGATATTAGTATTCTAGAACCCTTAAAGACATGCATATTCTAGAACCCTTAAAGAAATGAGTATTCTAGAACCCTTAAAGACATGCATATTCTAGAACCCATAGTGGACATGGGTGAACTAGAAATCCATAAGAAAGTTCTATTATAAACTAGAATCAACAGGAAGGTGGGTAGATAAAATATTTAGAGGCATTGGTGTTAATTTTCTGAACAGAAACACATTAGTTACAGAAGTAGTTGAATTGGCAGACAATGTAGCAGTTTATAGATACCTGAAGTGAACACAACCGTTGTAGATTGGCCCATTGAACCAGCTGCAAAAATTCAACAGTGGAGCAAAAACATAGCAACAAAGTATTGTATTAAAAACAAGAGTATTTACTTTACGATTGAAAATTTCAGAATTATAATTGAACGCAACTTAAAAACAAATTAAATGTTTTTTATAAAATTATTAGAAATTCAACACAAAAAAACTTTAGGACAAATAATATATTCTTAATAAACTAAATATCAGTAATGGAATTAACATTCTGAATAGATAAAAATTATTTTACCCATTGGCATAGATCTTGAATTGATTTTTTAAAGAATAGAATTATTTTGACCTTATTTGAATACCATATAAAAAATCCATCAACATTGGACCATTATGCAATTTGAGACTAGAAACAGTATTGTTGGTATAAATACTCAAGTAACAGGGTAAGTAATATAAAATCACATAAAAATAGTAAATACAAAGCAGGAAACAAAGTATATTATCACAGTCCATCAGTTTGAAATTAAATTAGGGCTCTAAAATAAAATAACTGTACACAACAATGAAAAATTAATAAATACTATTTTACATTACATGCATTTTCAGTATAAAAATATTATATCTTGTACAATCAGTGGACAATAAATAAATGACAGCCCTTGTGGAATTTTTTTTTTTTACAATGACAAGAAATGATTATCAAATTTCATTCACTCTTTAAATTAAATATTTCAATTTAAAAAATTCAAAAAAATTATTAAAATTTTAATCTTGTCTAGTCCACATAGACTTAAAAGGTCATCAAAAATTTATTTGTAAATTATAATTATATTAATGAATTTAAAGGGCATTGAGAGATAAATAATGTGCCATAGATATGAGAATGAAATAAAAATTTTAAATTTAAAGCTTTCATTTTCATGCTTGGTAGGACAGCAGCATTCATTTCTTTTAAAATATACATTATATATAAATAGAATTTCTTTTATTTTAAAGGGTGGGGAGATGGCATGACAAATTGAAATATTTGCTGCCAGTTTAATTTCTATCAATAAAACAATTTCCATGATCATAATGCAAAATGTTTATTTGGGAAAATAGAAAATTTCACTAATGCAAATTATGGGTACTTCACTTTTACCATGAATCAATTAGCTTCATTGCCAAAAAAATTAAATATAATTTATAAAGTTGTAATTTTCTATGACTAGAATTCTACCGGTGGTGGTATTTTTCATCCTGGTAACTAAATATAATGAAATTTCAAAAACATGCCAATTACAACAATAATGTTTTGCTATTTGAAGAATTACAAATAAACGCTACAATTTTGTGAATGTGATATTTTTATAAAAATATACATATAAAAAAAAATTATAATTGATTATTTTTAATTTCATTTTTAATGTCAAAGTTCCATACAAAAAACATCAATCCAATGTTATCTTTTTTAAAATAAATGTTTCCGAGGTACGAGAAATTGGGAAAATTTACTTTTATTTGCTAATTCTTCAGGAATAAGTTTCAAAGTTAATCAAATCCTCGTCATCAAGTCAAAACTATTTGGATGACCTAAAATTTTAAATGTTATAAACATATCTTTCTTGAAATAGTTATTTTGGTTTTAAATGAAAGAAGCCAAAAGTTTTTGGACATACATTTGTGAGACAGTGGGGAAAATTTAAATGAAAAAATGTTCATTCACGTGTAACAGATAATTTAAAAATACTATTTGACTGATGTTTCTAAATCATCTGTAATATATATGTGAGTAAAAAAGATATCAATTTATGGAAGAAAATGTTGCCTTATTTCCAGAGAATTTAAATAAACATTTTGAGAATTGTAAGAATAAATTATTTACAAACAAGAAAGATATAGAAAATTATATGTCAACAGATTGACATAAGAACATACTTTCCAAAAAACCATACGAGGAAACATACCCTTCAGAGCACAGAACATAGAACTGCTGAAACTTTACTGGGCGCTAGCTCTTTAACAACAACTCAGGAATAATCGTGTCCATGGGCCTGACCCCCACCTTCGTATCTGTTAGTCTTGGGCCTGGACAGGAGGCCAACCCGCAAAATTATTTTGCAACTGCATGTTAGTCTGGCTCAGAGCATCCCAACATAATTTGGGCTACTCTTAGTACAAATTGGCCAGGAAAACCCACCAGGTAATATGTCCTAATTAAACATTCCAGCCACCATGGGATGGCCACTTTCGACAGTTTCTATCTGGGCTGTTGCAGCCGAAAACCTCACACTTTTACCTCACGGCATTTCACTAAACTTCACCTGAAGAGCTATATTTGTGTTCTGCACACAAACACGCACCACCCCCAGTGAACACACTGCAGCCCCCACCGTGGGGCTTGTTCTATCTCGCCATCCCTAAGATTTTGGGAGGAAGTGGTCACCTGGGACATGGGCCACCTACACTCCACCCAGCATTCAAATTGAATGCCAGGAGTTTGGCAAGCAAACTTGGGTGGTCCTATCATGCCTCTTGCCCAAACCGTTGTCCTACTAATCCTGGGCACAGGCACTCATCAATACTCAACCCCCAATCTTGTTGCATGTAGACCCTGGCTTGGGCCAGATGCTGGCTAAAGTTTGCTTATAACTGACCAGAGAAAGGGGAAGTTCCCAACCCCAGCTCGTTGGGCTGCAGTGGAGCTACTCTGCGGCCCTCTACGGGGTTTGTTTAATTTGGTTCACCTACGCCTATTCAATACATTCTCATGTAACCCGAGCACACTGTCAAGATGCACCTTCTACACAGGCATGGATTTTTGTTTAGGGTCTGTAGGCTCCCCTAGGACCACATCCGATGATGCAACATCATCAGACACACCAACCCACCAGTGCTCCAGATCGGGCCCCAGCTACCATGATCCCATGACACATTCATCACCCACAGCCCACCAACACCCCAGCATGACCATGTGGTGCTGAAACACTGCAAGCCACTCTGTCAGACTAAGATGGGTTGGGGAGAAGGCAATACCCAACCTGACTGTTTGTGGCTACTGGCACCAGACTTGCCCTTCAGCTACTTCCTACAAACATAAATGGACAATATTACTAGATATTATGAACAAATTAAGAGACTATTTCTCTCTGAGAGAAAACATTAAATATTCAATTTGGTTTTTAAAAAGTTAGTTTTAAAAATGAAATTTATTCTGCTTAGGCTAGTGGCAATGAATCATAACCAAATCCAGTCATGATAGTAATGAATTTGCTGAGCCTTCATATCAATTTAGGCTTCATAATTTCCCATTTCATAATCATATTCATAAATATCTTCATCATACTCATATTCATCATTGTCGGAGTTTGCATCTTCCAGAACCGAGCCAGCACTGTCATCAGTGTCACCATCAGAATATTGCATGGCAACATGAAGGGCACTGGCGTATGCTTCATCATAACTCATGCATCGTTGTAGATTACGCAACAAAAACCGTGGTAAATCAGCCAGTGAGGCCACAGAAATGTTGTCAATAGGAGGTGGAATATGGGCCATAGCGCAAGGAAATTTTTCTGACACTTCATGTAATGATGTTGTGTATGGCTGCCAGTTGTTCAACACAAGAACACCTTCCTGGGCAGGCACAGCAATTTGGTAGCCATAAGCTTGTGCCTCTCTAGAATACTCAGCACCGGGCGTTGGGATACGACGTAAAGAGGTGACCCATTTCACTCTCACCTCATCCAGGATAATAGCAGGTTCTCCAGGCTGGTAGATGTGTACTGTGTCATCTCTCACACACATAGCATAACACTTAGCAAAGTCATCATAAGAAATATCAGGGGCTGTCAGTTCCCATGAACTGAAAATTTTCATCTTTGCATCAAAGAGCACAAAGCCAACAGACTTTTTAATAGAAAACTCTTCTGATGGGCCTGTTCTGTGTCTGTACCAAATAAAGATTTGGCGATCATTCCTTACTACACATCTGGCCAAGCTTATAAACCTTGAGCTAGGAATCTGATAGCAGGCATACTGATTATTAGCTAGGTTACAAGCAAACAGATGTCCAGTTCCTTCTTTGTTACCCACTACAAACAGCTGCCCGCTGCACATAACCATGGCAGGAGGTGCAGTGCGGAAGTTGGTGAGAGTAGTTCTATATGTAGGCTTGTAGTAATCCACAGTTCGAAATGAGAAAAGAGATGGTTGACCAGTGAGCAGATCAATTGTGAGAATATTTATTTTCAACATGTCTGTTGGGTATGGAAATGATGAGCATAAGTACATGTACAGTTTACCCTCATGGGCTAACATATTGCAAACAGTTTGTCTCATTGGGACAAACTTAAGTAATCTTTCACCAGATACCGGAAAGTGAAACCACATCTGATCCTCAAGACTATACAAAAACAATTTAAGAAATTTTAAGCCCTGATTGCAAACCACAGTGAAGAGAATTTGGGAACAATGGGTTGATCCTTGGTTGCTCTGTGTCATAACATCTGCTTTCTCAGATGGAAGGATGTCAGCATTGGTTGGCAACTCAGATGAAGAATACAAACTATTGTCTAAATTAAAATTGTTAGAGTCATCAACTGGTGAATTTTGATGCAAATCACAACTTCTTGATCTTGGAGGATCCCTGCCTTCTAATGAGCTTCTTAATTCACGTCCTAGATAAGATGCTTCATTAGCATATTCAGAAATCCATGCATTTATAGAACTCTTTAACTGCTGGTGGTAAGGAAGTCTTGCAACCCTGTCATGGTCTACCCACCTTGTGGCCAACTTGCGTAGTTCACTATAACCTGTATGCTGAAGTACACATGGGTCCTCAAGCAGTTTGGCTAACCAAACATATGGTAATTCAAGTATATCATCATGATGTATGAGGTAGTCATGAAAACGAGATTCAATTATGCTTTTGGCAGCTGCAGCTACTTCCGGTAAGTTGTGATCTTCAGCCAAAAAGCGAACTCTTAAACAGTTAGAAAGGTCAAGGTTTCCCAGTCCTAAGAGGAATTGCTGACAAAAGTCTCTGACATCATCTAACAACAGGAAGTCTGATATTTTAACAACATCTGTTATGGTTTCTGTTGTGAGAGGTAGTGAGCCAGTGTACATGTAGTCAAGAACACTACCAAACACAGTATCCTAAACAAATGGAATAAAAAAACTATTATTTTAATGCATTTAAACACTACCATTGAGTTGAGGTAAGGAGTTCTAAAACTTACTTTAATCTGTGACTCTTCAAAAATGTGTAATGTTTGTTACAACAATCAGAAGCATAAAATTAACTTTTACTGTTTCAAGTTGGGCTTGTAATAAATGAAAAATGTCATAAGTAATGTAAACAGCAAAGATGTGGTCTTTGTAAGAGGAAAAGAAATAGATCAAGTAGATAATTTTATCTGTCTAGGAAGTATTGTCAGTAAGGATAGAAACTCTGGGGCAGATATTAAGGCAAGAATACAAGAAGGTAAGAAGATTTCTGCTTTACTTTTAAAAACATTTGGATAAGGATATCCAGTAAGGATAAAGACGAAAATTAGAATTATTACATTAAATGTTAAACTGTTCTGTTGTAAGGCTCAGGAACCTCGTGATAAGCAGTGAGAGATTGAAAATGACTGCAAAATTCGTGAATAAATGCCTGTGCAGAATCCTAGGCATCAAATGTAATCAATCTAAAAAATCCAATGACATCACTAATTCCAGTAGAGTAAGAAATTCAGATCAAGAATGGGATAGGTCATAACTTTAGCAACAACTTTAAAAAAACTGATGTGAAGTATAACTAAGCAAGCACATTTACTACAAGTTGTATGGTACCCCAATCTCAGGGATCATGAGAAGGGGTTGGTATAAAAAACTGAAACACAAGCTCTAGGCTGAGACTAGAACAGATTGTAAAGAGTTGAAGAAGATACTGGGAGTTGAACTTGAAAGAGTATAAAGAAGGAGAATAATTTTCAGTAGTTCAAATTGTAGTTTTGTTTTAGTAAACTTAAACTAATTAATCACCTGTTCCAGAACTAGGGAGGCAGATAAGTCAACTTCTTTAATATTTTTTTCTCGCATATCACAAGTAAACATTGAATGGAAATATGGGCTCCAAAGAGCCAAAATAGCACGATGTGCATTGTACCGGCGACCGTTCAATTTTAAAACAATATCGCATAGTTCCCCAGTTTCTCTTTGCTTCAATAACGGTCTCACAAGGCAATCATGAGCACTTTTACTAAAAGTTTTCTTCGTAGCTTTAACGTAATGTGACATGGCTGTATATGCTTAGCATTTTTTCTATCCATAACGCATGTATCCCATTGTGTTTCACAGACTGTTTTGTTTGTAATGAAATGAATACTAGCAATCTATAAAAATCTTCGGCTAACCGAATCTTCATAATTTATGCTGATTGTTTGGCTTGACAATGGCACATTTTGCGAGTGGTTTCCCTTTAAGATATTGTTAGGGATTTGTCTTTTACTTTATGTACGTTTACTAGCCAACCGACTTTTTAAATATTTTTTTAATGAATACACAATTAAATCAGGCCAAAAGAAAAATTTATTTTCTAAATATTTGTAAAGGATTATCTCCAAAATTATCAAATGTGTATCATAAATATTTCATTCATTTTATATTTTAATTTAATATGTTATTATGTATTGACTATTTAATTTAAAAGTAAAATTAAAACCAAAAGCAAAATCAATGGCACACTCAAACTCAAAAGACAAAATAAAAATTTCATATCTAATCAGACTAATGAAAGGAACTTAATTCATAATATCGTTTGGAGACTATTTTGATGAAAAGAAGTTCATATGATATGTGTAATGTCATATACATTTATAGCCTAGACTAGGGTAGGAGCAAGATAACTAAAATATTGTTATTCTTGCCACATACTAAAATTAAATGGTGGGAGGGTGGGTGTTTGGTAAAGGGAAAGAGATCTTGTAAGTTGTTGCGTAGCGATCGGGGCGAAACTAACACTAGACACACCCTCAGACAGAATTACTTACACGGCTGTTCTGGGATAGTTTATTTCATACATTCAATAACAAAATGGCAGCTCCCTTCAATGTGTAGGCTATCTCATGGCACCAACAAAAATCTCGGATCTTAAATGTTAGCGTTTGCATATTCTGATGCGACGTAATAAGTAATCTTTCTCTTTTTTTTTCATACTGTTCCTGAAGCCTATTGAATATAGTAGGGTTTCTTGTAGTCACAATTTAAATCAATTTAAATTGAGGATAGCTTAATTTTAGTCTTTAAACTTTAGACACTTTAGTCTCTTTAGTAGACCTAGACTAAGCGAAGCCTAGAAGTCAGAAGCCCCTAAGCTGAAGCTTCCTTAATTATTAATTACAAATTAGAGTCCCTTGACTTGAGATTTGAGTTGACTTGCGGATAAAACAGTGGGCACTGGTCACTGACTGAAGATATGTTATTCAGTGTATACTACTCAAACTGTTAGGACCACTGTACTGTAGTCACACAGTCTCACAGTCACAGTGAGAAGTCCACCACAGTATAACTATTTATTTATAAATAATTTGTTTGAAAGGGCTTTATCATTACTATGGCGTAAATGAAAACAATTATTTGAATTCAATTTTAATAAAAATATTCCAACGTGAGTGGGGTAGGGCAAGTTGTTCTCTGTGAGTGTGAATTAGGCGTTTCACTATGCTTTATATTATAAATTATATGAATTTTACACCTCCTTTTTCCACTGTTTAAGACAAGCCATGGCCATTATCATACAGATTTACTAAAATATCTTTTAAGACTATCTCTATTACTTAAAATTACTAATTACTATTATTAGGGTTAGCAAGTCGTCTGCAGTTCTCACAGTATATTCTGAGGGATAAAAAAACTTTCTACATTCACCTGAATTAGGATTAGGATCAGACCAATTTGAAGATGAGGAAGGAAGCTTTGAACTCTACCCATCACACTATATTAGGGGCCATTCATAAATGACGGCATGCAAATTTTGCCGATCCCCGCCCATCGTCTCAAAAGTTAGAACCCCCCCCCAAATATATTTATAACGTCACAAATCTCTGCAATCCCCCCCCCCCTTAAAATTCCCTGTGTCCATTGTTTGTTTTGTCACTCGGGAGTTGACCATGACCACTTTAATCATCAGAGGTTGTGCTAGTTATGTCTGTGGGTGCGCAGATGGCTAATGAGGCAGATTCTGGCACAAAATTCTCTGGTGCAGTAGGTGCAGGGTAATCATAGCACATCTCCGGGTGCAGAGTCAGACCGGGCCTTCCTGGCATGTCTCTTGCGCTCTGCCGCCGCTGTTCTGCCAACTTCATGTTGCATAGAGCTCCTGTGTAAAGTGGAACGCCATGAAGTTCGATCCTAACTAATGTCGTTTACAAACCCTTAAAAATTGAGATATTCACCTCCCATTGAATGGATATAAAATTACTGAACCTGTGTCAGAAACATTTCACTAGAACAGTGGTTCTTAACCAGGGGTAAAAAGTATCTCCCCAACCCTGAGGTGCGGAATACCAGAAAATTGTTTTTGCTGCCACTGCCATTGCTAGTTTTTGCTGCTTTTTCTTTCTTTTTTTTACATCAGTTTTTATGCATTTTGATTAGCAGCAGTAAAAAATTTTTCTGGTGAATTTTGTTTTCACATTATTTGTATTGGTAATTTTTTTCCTTATCAATTATTTAATTATTTTCATATTTTATTTCAATATAATTTATACGGTTGGGGGGGGGGTGTTTAAAACGGAAAGGGGCTGCAGCACTGTCAAAAGGTTAAGAATCCCTGCTCAAGATAATTTATTAAGATCACAATTGTTGTATAAAAGAATAATGTTTAAAATGTCTATAATTTAGGGTTATTAAGTGCAGTTCTTCACTATGATATTCGGCTTTTCATGTGATGTCACATTGCTTAAGCCCCCACCCCCCCCCCCCCCCCCCTTCCCCTCATGACACATGGCCCCTTTTGCTTAGGTCAGGTTAAGTAGAGCAATTCTGGTCCTAGCATCACTGGCCTAAAATAATTAAAATATTTTTGTAATTCATTTGTACACGAATTGAATAAAAATGCAACCATTTAGGCCTTATTGCAGGCTTCACCAAACTTTTTTCCACCGCAGGTCAGATAGCTGACAAAATGATGGCTGTGGACCGCATAATTATTCTGTACAATACTTGCAAGCCAGAACGAAAGTTCTGGGTAAAAAGACGGAAAACTAAGTTTAGTACTCCATGTAAGTTATGGGTGTTAACCATGATGGAGCTACCACGAACCTGGGAATGATTTGGGATGGCGCGAAATAAGCAAACATTGCAATAATTTAAATAAACAATAGTATTCTAAACATAATATTTAGTTTTAAATCGTATCACTACGGCTCATGTTCCATACTTTTTATCAACCAAAGTCAAATACCGTACCATCAGCAGGCCTGATGAACTGATGTCGGGGGCCGGATCCGACCTGCGGGCCGTAGTTTGGTGACCCCTGCCTTATAGTAATCAAAGTATTAAATTGTTTCACAGAAAATTAAAAAATTGTTCCACTGCACATTTGTAACTAAACTCTCAATTGAATTTTTTAACCCCATATTCGATGGCTACTATATACTATATTTAAGGTAGACTCTATTCCCATGTGGCCCACAAAAAAATATTAATTTCCACAGAATAGATTGCGTACCTTATCTATACTATAACAAACTATTCTATAGAACCCAATCATGTTTAGGGGTATAGTTAGACTTAGGCCTATGCCTATATAGACCATAGACATAGTGGACCTATAGTATAGTCTATAGTACTCTATAAGTTATTATCATAGGCCTACTGAGTAAGTAGTAGAATTTAATATGTCTTCCATTGCCTGTCAACTAAATTTCTATACAAGCTAGTTTGTCTGTCTCTGTATCTTGCTTTTGAAGGCTTCTTAGCCGAAATATCCATTTTTCTATTGTCAGGTTTTTCTCTACCATGTATATTTCTTATTGCTTCAACCTGAACGCAGCCCTCCCTGTATTTCTGAGTAATTAGTATTGTAATAACTTGTAGGTTATGGTATATCTACTAAGTTTTTTACTTTCTCCTTCTTATCTCTTAAAATGACCCCATATATTCTCCTCAGAGAATAAACGCACAGCTCACGCCCAGAGATAGCACACTGCAAGGAAAAGCAGCATTGACTCAAATCCTACTAGGACTCAAAGCTATCCAGGCACAAATAGGACCGGCACAGTGAAATATAGCCTTGGTCGTCTTGGCATGGGAAGAACGAACAACACCGCCACCCCATATATGTACACTAACTCTACACCTTATGACTTATAGCATTGTACCGAATGCTTCGACTCATATATTTTGTTAACAATTAAATTATTTCATTCATTTGGTCTAAGCTGAGAACAAAACAAAAATAAGAAGAAACTGTAACAAAGATAAATAGGGCCATACAGTTCATACAAAAAATTGTGTTCAACATTAAAAACCATGTTCATTAGACAAATAAAAAAAACGTGGCATAATTTAAGACCATTATATTGAAAATTCCCTAATCAATGTTTGTTGCTATATTTGCATACCTTTAAAAAAAATATATTTCAGGAAGACATACATTTTACACATTTGACACATTAAAAGATGTCTGGGCTATGTGCAATATAATTTTGATAATTATTGAAATATATTACTATTTTATTTTTTAATTGTATGCATATTTTGATAGTCTTACTAAAACGCAGTTGTTAAAAAAAAGTTTAAAATCTTCTCTTTTTTTCTTTCTTTTTTTTTTTTTTACAGTTGAAACGGCAACATCCTGGTGCTGGGATATACAATGTTTTCTTCTAGGTTTACAAGTGCTCTTTCACAGATTTGTCATAAAAACTTCAACATTCAAAATTTTTTTTATAAAATTTTTATTTTTTTTCTTTTTTCTTTCTTTTTTTTTTTTTTTACAGTTGAAACGGCAACATCCTGGTGCTGGGATATACAATGTTTTCTTCTAGGTTTACAAGTGCTCTGTCACAGATGTGTCATAAAAACTTCAACATTCAAAATTTTTTTTATAAAAAACAATTTTGTAAAGTATTTTATGGGCATTCAAATGTCAGTTGTAATAGTTTTATTTCCCAGTGTTCTAAAGAACAACTAAAACATGTTAGATCAGGCAAACATTTGATACAGCCATTTACGTTTGCTAGGTTTTATTGTCAACAAACACTAGAGGGAAATGAACCAGTTAAAAAAAAGAGAGATATAATGTATAAACCTATGAGGAAAGAAAGGTTGGCGAATCAGGAATTGTTCCGTAACATTTTATCTCAAAAAGGGGAGAATCCAATGAGTGTAGAAGATTGGGCTTGTGTTGAAAGCTTGTTTTTATCAAAAATTAAAGAAAAATGGGAAATATTTTGCATGCATACATTGTATTTGGATAAGAATGTTAAATTCGGCAAAAGTCTTATGAGCTATTTAGAATCAAAACCAACTACTCCAAATGTAATAGCAATGACATTTTTCATTGGTTTACTTGGTCAAACCTGCAATGGATCAGATGAGCAAGAAGCTGAGGTGAAAAAGTACTTTGATATTCTATTATCAAATACGGACACTTTTGATGCTGCATCTATAGAGGTTCTTATAAATTATTTATAAACACAATTAAATTAATTTAAACTTGCATAAATAACAATTGTTGCCAGTAAATTATTTTATCTGTTAAGTAATTCAGTTTGCACAAAGTTTATGAAAAATAAATAACTTTTGCTTTAACACAAAAAAAACCTCAGAGAAATAAACATTTTAATTATCTAAATAGCAATTAAATGTAGATAACATTTTTTGTTACCACAATTAGTGCTTTTTTTTTTTTACCATGGCAATTAGTTTTGATGAAAAGCATTTCTGTTACATTTGCATTTATTAAAGTGAAATGTCATATTATGGTACTTAGAAATATTTGAGTACATTTTTTAGAAAAAAATAATTACAATTTTTTTTTATAAATCATTCATTCCCCAGATACTAATTCAGGGATTATCTAAAACCAAATACTACCTGGAATGTCTTCCCCTACTGGAAACATATGTAGAGTTCAATGGCCTTGGTGCTGGTGTGATGGCTGCTTTGTTAGATGCAGGAATGCGTTATCACAACAGTGATCTAACAAATTTTGCAATGTCACAATTTGAGAAAGGGAGTAATGACCCAACTCAATTAATTCAGTTTGTGTCAATGGTAAGAAGAATAGTTTTAAGAGGATTTTAATTTAATTCACAAAATGATTTTCCACGAACTAAATTTACCTATGGGGTGCACCTTGGCATATAAATGCCAATACCTTGTAAAGAGAATAGAAAATTGACTATAATTAAGTTAACATCAAACCCTTACACTCATTAAAGATAGGGGTAACATCTACGTAGTGGTCACATGAGCTGTTTGAAACGAAAAAAAAATCCCTCTGAAGGTTGTAAATAGACTTGTCATATTTTTTTTTAATGAAGAATAATTATAATCAACATAGTGTTATTTAAATGATTGTTTCAGTGGGTATTATTGGCCTGCTTTTGGCCAAATAGATGATCAATTTTGGTTTGCATATTTAAGGTTAAGGACCCCTGTTTGGCCGGATCTAGTATACAGAGTTGCAGTTTGAAGAATCCTGCCATAGATAATTGAGCTTTATAAGTTTTTTTTATCATTTTTTATTTCTGCGATGTGTATCTCTTGTTCTTTTTATAAGAAAATTACCAAAATTTTCATTTCAACAACATGATGTACCCGGTATGTTTTTTTTATAAATGATAAATATGTCTTCTCCTAAGACCTTTAAACAATTTTACCTGCTTGCATTTGTAGAATCCCAAGATAGCTGAGACATTATTGATCTATGAGTTGTCCACAGGTGGTGGAGAGTTGCTTGGCTGCGGACAACCAGCAAGGTCTGGAGGACCTCATGGGCTTCCTTAGAAAACATATGTTGCTTTTTCCAAAGACAGCATTAGAGGAGATTCATGGTTTGTTCCAAAGGTGAAAACTAGTATAGAGAACTCCTGCTATTAGATTATATTTTGTATATTTGAGTACAAGCTCCACTGGCAATGTTATCTATTATTAAGCTGTATTTTTTTTATAAAATTTTAAAGTTCATAATTACCATACATTCCATGTGATACAGTTTACAAGTATTTTGTCAAGGTTTTTTAGTTTTTTACTTGAGTATTTGTCCCGACACGATTTTGTCCAGGTTTTTATTGGAGTTAAAAAAAACCTGTGCAGCTATGGGAACCTTATTTGACCTTTTACACAAACTTCAGTGTTGGCCAAAAGAAACTTAAATCCAATTTGGTTGTTTGTTTTTTTCAAGGCGACCTTTCGGATCAGTATGCTATTAGGGAGATAAATTATAGAATCAGGGTGTGGTGACCAGTATTTGCGTACATCCATCCCTGTGGCGCTACAGCCCATGTAGGGCTTTGACCTGCCTCACCACTTCCTTCCACTCAGACCTAACTAATGCCTTTCTTTTCCATGCTTGGACTTTCAGCTGCTGTAGATTTTTTTCCACATCATCTATCCATCTAAGCCTAGGTCTGCCTTTTAGCCTTTTTCCTCTGGGGTATTGGTGATGCACCCTCTTCGTTCCTCTGTCATTTGGCATTCTCTCTAAGTGTCCTGCCCAGGGTAGCCTTCCCCTTTTTATTTCTGCTTCTATCGTGGTATCCTGATATAGACTGTATAATTCATGGTTGGTTCGTATTCTCCATCCATGTTCCTCCTTTGTTGGCCCATATATTTTTCTGAGAACTTTCCTCTCCCATGTGTTTAATAGGTTTTCTGCTGTTTTTGTTAGGGTCCAAGTTTCACTTGCATATGTTACAACTGGTCTGATTACAGTTTTATAAATAGTTTTCTTTGTTTCTCTTGTGATGTTTTTGCTTTTGAGTATTTTCTGAATACTGAAGTATGCCCTGTTTCCGGCTGATATTCTTTCTTTTATTTCTGTTTGTAATTTGTTTCTTTCATTTAACAAGGATCCTAGGTATTTGAATTGATTTACTTTTACAAAAGTCTGGTTTCTAATTTTAATTGCTTTGTCTGTTAGTTGTTCTCTTATCATGATCATGTATTTTGTTTTTTGGTTGTTAACTTCCAGCCCTGCTTGTAGCGATGCGTCTTCTAATTCAATAAAGTATTTTGATATGTCTTTAATACTTTTCCCTATAAGTGCTATGTCATCAGCATATGCAAGATACTGAAGTGGTTGGTTGTAGAGTGTGCCTGTTGGTTGTGGGTCTTAAGTTTCCCTCAGAAAGTATCCTGTTATCGTTCCTCGAGTGTCAATGTGTATGTTTCTCATAACTCTCTCTAATGTTAGGTTAAAAAGCATACAAGATAGTGAGTCTCCCTGTCGTAGGCCTCGTCTAATATGAAATTCCCTTGAATATTCTCCTTGAATCTTGATTTTGCTTTTTGAGTTGTTTAGAGTTACTTGTATTTGTCTTGTCAATTTGTTGGGTATCCCAAACTCCTGCAAAGTCTCATATAGATAGGTTTTTTTTATGCTGTCATAGGTCATTTTATAGTCCACATAGAGTTGATGTACTGGCATATTATATTCATAGCATTTCTCTAATAGGCATCTGATGGTGAAAATTTGATCAGTCGTTGATCTGTTAAGCCTGAATCCACATTGGTAATCACCTAGTATTTCTTCAGTGTAAGCTTGTAGTCTTTTGGCAATAAGTTTTGTCAGTATTTTGTATGTAACATTTAATAGGGAGATTCCTTTTTAGTTTGTGCACTGATGTTTGGAGCCTTTCTTGTGTATTGGGGTTATTAATGCTGTTTCCCATTCTGTCGTGATTTTCTCTTCTTGCCAAATTTTAGTTATAAGTTTATGTATCTGATTGTGTAGTTCTTTTCCTCCATATTTAATCAGTTCTGCTGTGATTAGGTCTTGTCCGGGGGCTTTGTGAATTTTCATATAATTAATTACCTCTTTGGTTTCTTCTAGGGTTGGGCATTGTATAAAAGGGTCTGTTCCTTCCTGTGGGGGTTGAAAATCTTCTTCTTGTCTATTGTCTGCATTCAGTATGTCCACAAATTATTCAGCCCACCTCTCCAGTACTTTACTATTTTCCGTGATTAATTCTCCATTGTGGCTCTCACACATTTGCGGTCTGGCTTGGTATCCATTCTTTTCATCTTTATCGTCATGTACATTCCTCTTATATTTCCCTCTCTTGATAATCTATTTCCTTTAGTTTATCTTTTTCCCATTCCCTCTTTTTCTTCCAGCCATTTTTGTTGCTTTCCTTCTGGCTTCCTTGTATGTTTGTGTTGTCTTTCTGGTTTCCCTTTGTACCATGATCATTCGTGCTTTGTTTCTTTCTTCCACAGTCTCTCTGCATTCATTGTCGAACCAGCCTACTCTATTGTTGGTTTGCTGAAATCCCACTACTGTTTCTGCTGATCTTTTGATGGCATTTTTTATCCTATCCCACTGATCATTTATGTTGTTTTCCCCGTTTACTTCCTCCTGCGATGCTTCTTATTGTGCTTCTACTTCATTCTGGTAAGCTTTTGCAGTTAATGGGTTTTTGGGCAGCTTTTGGTAATCGTATCGTTACTCTCTTTGGTTACGACCATTGTGAATTAAGCTTATTTTCTGCCTTTATTTCACCCTTACAAGTAGATGGTCCAAGTCCGCATCTGCTCCTCTAAGGCTTCTCACATCTAATATATCTGATCTATGTTTCCGACCTATTAAAACATGATCGATTTGATTGCGGGTGATTCCATCTGGTGAGTTCCACTTAGCTTTATGTATATTTTTGTGCAGAAACTTGGTCCTGCTAACTGACATCCCTTTTCCTCCCGCAAAGTCTATGAGTCGGATCCAATTGTCATTGGATTCTTCATGCAGACTTTCCTTGCCAATAGTTGGCATGAACACCTTTTCTTTTCCTATTTTGCATTGAAGTCTCCAATCACTATTTTAATATCATGTCATGGTGCCTCTTCGTAGATCTTTTCCAATGTTTCATAGAAGGATTCTTTATCCTGATCTTGTGTCTTCGGTTGGAGCATGTACATTTATGAATGTTATATTGAACATTTTTCCTCGCACACGCAAAGAACACAATCTTTCGTTTCTGGGTTGAAGCCTATGACAGCACTGACTCCTTCTTTTTTAATGGCAAATCCTGTTCCAAGTGTGTTGATGTTGTTACCACTATAAAATATGGTGTATTCTTTTGTTTTGTGGATGTCTGAATTTTTCCATCGAATTTCTTGCAATGCAGAAATCAATATGTTATATTTGACCAGCTGATTTACAATGTTGGCTAAGGCTCCTGCTCTAAACAGGCTTAGTACATTCCAAGTCGCAATCCACAAATCATGTCCATATCCATGCATAGGTCGATTTCCAGTGGTATCAGTCCAGGTTTTATTCTGTTGATTGGCTTTCGTAACGTTGATTTTTTACATGGCCGGGTTGTTAACCCTGCACACAACCGTCTGAGGGGTTGCCCCTTACAGTTGTCTGGATAGCAGCCTTAGTTTTTGGGTAAGGTTCCCTAGCCTTTATGGATCCCTCCACTTCCTACAAGGCAGTAGGTTCTGATTTTGGTCCGCCCCAGGTATTTTATTTCCCTGGTACCCTCCATTGCTGGTGGGCTTTCCCCTATCCGCCACCTGGGAAGGCGCTCGATGGAAGATCAGTATCTCCGCACCAAAGTATTTGCGTACATACCTGAGTAAATAGTATGGCTACAGCCATGAAGTAGCAACTTTGAGAACATTGCAGTTGTTAGTAAACCATAATTAAAAATCTGTTCTTATCAAGAATTACACTACAGTATCATTTTAATGTTTTTAAAACTGTTTTAAGATTTATTAAGACCCATATTACTAACAAGAGGGAGTGGGATTGTTACGGCAGGATTTAATTAACAATCTCTTAAACTAAAGTTGTTTGATCTTCTTTGATGTCTGCATATTATAAAACTGTTTTAATCTTAAGCCGAACTACGTCACAACAGTGGAGAATCTGAAGAATCATTTAGGGTGATTAATAAATCCAAACTGCTCACAGAAAGACTTAAAGGTGTAACAATCACATCAATTTTACAGTGTAAATAAACACTGACACTTGCTCTTTGGGACTTAAAACAAATCCAGACATTATGAAAGGGGCCAAAGATTGCATGTGTTCAAAACAGTAAGGATTAATAGAAAAAAGGAATAAAAATTATAAATGATAATTTCTGTACATGTTTTGGGGGATCTTTTGTACAGGTTAGGTTGGCATATATGGTAATTAATAAAATTTAAGAGTTGGGCTGTAATAAAGCTGGAGTAGATTAGAGACACACAAAAACTACTTATGTTAAGAACTAATATAGTTAACCCATGAAGTTTGTGTATCTAATTAATTTATTCAGAAATTATCCTATCTTGAATTAAATAAAGAAAAGGAACTTTCTTCACCAAAAATTTGAATAATGTTTTTCATCTTGAGATTATCTGTTTTTATCGCTAACTTTAATTTAAAAGAAAAATAAATGTATGTTAATAAATGGCTTGAGCTTAATTAAATAACAGGGCAGGAACACAGTTTGTAAGTTATGAAAGTTATATATTTCTTATTTTCTGTTTCAACCTTTGTGCAGTAAACTTGTGCTTAAATGAGTATCACTGTTGTCTTTTTATGTTTATTTTAGATCTCAGCCAGGTCAATGGGCTGGACAATATGGCTACATTCATTACAAAGGGTAATACATTGGTTAAATTCATTTTTTAAAATAAATTAGCAATGTTAATATTTAGTTCTTGACCTTTGATAAATTAGCAATGTTAATGTTTAGTTCTTGACCTTTAATAAATTAGCAATGTTAATGTTTAGTTCTTGAACTTTAATAAATTAGCAATGTTAATGTTTAGTTCTTGAACTTTGATAAATTTGCAATGTTAATGTTTAGTTCTTGACCTTTGATAAATTAGCAATGTTAATGTTTAGTTCTTGACCTTTAATAAATTAGCAATGTTAATGTTTAGTTCTTGACCTTTAATAAACTAGCAATGTTAATGTTTAGTTCTTGAACTTTGATAAATTTGCAATGTTAATGTTTAGTTCTTGACCTTTAATAAATTAGCAATGTTAATGTTTAGTTCTTGACCTTTGATAAATTAGCAATGTTAATGTTTAGTTCTTGACCTTTAATAAATTAGAAATGTTAATGTTTAGTTCTTGACCTTTAATAAATTAGCAATGTTAATGTTTAGTTCTTGACCTTTAATAAATTAGCAATGTTAATGTTTAGTTCTTGACCTTTGATAAATTTTCAATTTTAATGTTTAGTTCTTGACCTTTGATAAATTTTCAATGTTAATGTTTAGTTCTTGACCTTTGATAAATTTGCAATGTTAATGTTTATTTCTTGACCTTTGATAAATTAGCAATGTTAATGTTTAGTTCTTGACCTTTGATAAATTTTCAATGTTAATGTTTATATCTTGACCTTTGATAAATTAGCAATGTTAATGTTTAGTTCTTGACCTTTGATAAATTTGCAATGTTAATGTTTAGTTCTTGACCTTTGATAAATTTGCATGTTCAAGCTGAGTTTAATTACGGTATATCCTTTTCCGCTTACTCTTATTAGTCATTTGGCTTTAATTTTCTGTTGTCCAAGGGATCCCGTCTACACAAATCTGTAACTGTTGAATCCATTGGGTCCCCTCTACACAATTATGTCATTGTTTGGTCCATTGGGCACCCTCTACACGAATCTGTAACTGTTTGGTCAATTGGGTACCTTCTATACAAATATGTAACAGTTTGGTTCAATGGGTCCCCTCTACACAATTATGTCACTATACACAATTATGTCACTATTGGGTCCCTTCTACACAAATCTGCAACTGTTTGGTCAATGGGGTACCTTCTCTACAAATAAGTAACAGTTTGGTCCATTGGGTCCCCTCTGCACAATTATGTCACTTTTGGGTCCCTTCTACATAAATCTGCAACTGTTTGGTTCATTGGGTTCCCTCTAGACAATTATGTCACTATTGGGCCCCCTCTACACAAATCTGTAACTGTTTGTTCCATTGGGTCCCTTCTCCACAAAACAAAAACTGTTGAATACAAAAAAAGAAGGAAGAGATTAATTCATTGTTATTAAACCAGTAATTTGCTACAAAGTTTCCTCGACTAATATAAGTAAACGGACTAAGCAGTGGATAAAATCATCACTAATGGAGCATTTATTTTCTCCAGTGGTAACTGTGTGGCATGTGGAACTCAAATGGACAAGATTGAACTTAGCCATGCTGAGTTTGAGAAACTTCAAAAAGTATTTTTGGACCAGGTCATTGTAGGAAGTAACATATTTTACAAGTCAACACCAGATGAGATGAAGAACTTGATAGCATTTGTCAAGAGGAAAGGACCCTTTGATGTAGTCATAGATGGATTGAATGTAATTCATCGCAGTGGGGCAGTTCCTCAAGATGAAAGAGTAAGAGCATGAAGAGATAACTAATTAAACTTTTTCAATTGAAATATCATTAAAAAAATACTGGCAATTTTCACAAACTATTAAAGTTAATTTGGTTACTGTCTTGCGTGCCCATTTTTGAATGACCATTGAATCCCAATGGCAATATGGCCTGATAGAATTGTTTGAATGTTTGTCTCTATGATTGACTGCTACATCATGGACTCCCCTTCAATACTGAGGTCATTTGTGGTGTGTTCATTAATGTGGTGGAAAATTCATAATTTAAAATCTAACAGTGTTTGAAATTTGTCTTTTTAAATTTTTAACACATATGAATACACTGTTTCATTTTTCTGCGACCCGATTAATGCGGAGAATATAATCCAAATTCATCTATAATAATACAGATGACATAGGTAAAAGTAAAAAAAAAAATTTTTTTAAGTTTCAGAAAATATCATTCAACATTCCACTTAGGTCTAACACAGAAGTAGAAAAATATTTAGGTTTTGAACCATAAGCCAAAATGAATTTATATAGTTTTATTTTTATAATCTTTATATTGGCACTTATGTGAAAGGCAATTTTTCATCATTCTCTAAAATCTGATTTGGTACTGTACAACACAAAGGTTTGAACATTCTTATACTGTTACAGTTACAGGTTCATTTCATCAAAAATATATAGCAAAATTCAACCATACAAAAAAATAGTCTAATCGTAACCATGTGTGCTTGCTATGGGAAGATTTAACTCAAGTACTGCTTCTACTACTAGAATGACGGGCATAAAATGGAAAAGCTTAATGAATTGATTATTTTAATGAATTTTTGTTTGTTTTAGTCCATTTAATTCTCAGTTCAGCAGTTTTTTTACCTTTATGTGGTTCGAGTCTTTTTTAAAAATTAATGACCATTTCACAAGATAGGATTAGTATTTTATTTCTTTTGCAGTGAATAGGTTGTCTTTTTTTTCCCTGTCTAGATAGAAAGAACCGTGAAATACTTCTTAAATCTGGACAAGAGGGTTTTAATACTTGGCAGTAAGGTCCTCTCAAGATATACAAAGAATATAAAGGCCATGAGAAATCTCAATACTTACATGACATCCTCAACGTAAGTTGCCTTGAATTAGCTTTGCTAAATTAAATTCAAAGGAATCTGCCTGAAAGTACTTTAGGAGGACTTTATAAAAAGCTCTGATTTATTTGGAGTATGTCAGCAATATATATTTGTATTAATTATATTATAGAAAAGTGTGTCATTACCATATGATGACCAGGCACAGATGTACAGGATCTTTTGGTTAAAATACACTTCAAAAAAAAAAAATCTTATTTGAAATCTGTTTTATTGAGCAATGTTAACTTTTAAGGTTGATTTGATATTCAAAAATACACAATATAAACATTTTCTAGCAGAACATATTTCTGTTTATGAGGCTACCAAACCGCTCTGGCCAGATACTGATATCATTCTTTAATATTTATACACAAATAGGAAAGCTGATGATGCCTTTATGATGTATGCTGCACTTCAGAGCGGCCAGGACACACTCATCGTGTCACATGATAAACTTCGGGATCACAGATTTCTCTTGGACAGTGACATTCGTCATATATTCAATAAGTGGCTGCATAAAATTCAAATTTATGATTGGTTCTATTCCAGGCAGGGGGAATTCACTGTCAGGGTTAGTATCTAATTTTGTAATGGATATCGGTTTTTAGGGCATTTTTTTTTTTTTTTAGAGATTCTAATCAAGATAAAAACAGCTGTAAGTTTTTATACAATTTTACAATTACAACACCAAAATAAAATTTGTAAATTTTAGAAATGATAACTATGTGAGAAGCATTTTTTAGTTGTTTTTTTAAAATTCTGGTGTCATTAACAGTTGTCTTTAAGAAATTGGAGCAAACCTCAAGCATGAATAAAAAAAATAACAATTTTAACAGCCAGTTAAGTCACTTGTTGCCATAATTTCCAGTTTTCATATTTGTGGTGAACCCTTGCCAAATTACATAATACAAAATAATAATTAGGTAATTGCTTACAATTACGGACTATGCTGGTGCAGCTTTATAGCTAACATATTAATGGAACCAGAACATGTTAACTTTTAAAATCACATTTTGTATTAGTTATTCAAGTTAAAAGAAACTCCTGTTCATTTGTATAATTTTGTATATGTTCAAGTGCAGAAGGGGGCTTTGGCCATACCACAGTTTAAGTCAGCTATTACTATTACCAATATAAAATATTTTTACCACATGACCATAACAGCCCCAACAAATGATTACTGAGTTAGTTGATTTTCAAGGTCAGACTTATTTTCAAGCATGTCAACAGCTCACGCTTGAAATAAGACATGTTTAAGTATAACTTTTTCCTTTACTTCTTCCAACAAAATTTGTATGGAAATTATCCATTTGTCAATATTAATAGCTTTAAATGTTGTGTCTTAACAATCATTTTGTCAATGCTACTTATGCCAATAAATGATTTCTTCTACAGAGGAGACATCTGTTTGACTTAGGACCAAAAAAAGACAAAGGTGGATGGCATTTACCTGAAAATGATGTTGATTTTAATAACCCCCATGGTCAATTTAGTGTACTTTGCCTACGAAACATATCGAATAAGGGTGATGATGCCAGCAAAGATGTTCTGCCTCTTCAGATCAAAGCCGTTTCTGGAATCTCTCACGAGGTTGATCAGCAAAGGGATTGTGCAGAAACCTCATTCAAAAACCCATCAACTTTGAAACCCTCTGAGTTGGGCAAAAAAAATCCGTCAGTTGGTCATGGAACACTAACAAGAGCCCCGACTAACCAGCAGAGACCTGCTAAATCCACACCAGCATTTACCAGAGCAAAAGGCAAAGACACAGAGTGGTTTGAAACATAATTTGTTTTTTTTAGCATAATGAGGTTGGCAAATTTATTATGTTATACAAGATATACATCTAGATTTATAAAATTAAAATAAATATTTGTTAAACTTTAAAAAAAAACTAAAATCATTTAAAATAATTCAGTGTTTATCTTTGTTTATAATTTAATTAATATGCCTGTTTAAATACATAATACATTTTTTCATTTAAACTTATAGACTGACCGAGTTTAAATTGTATTATACACTCAAGCATTTAACTCAGTATCAAGAACTCCTTCAGTTTGTGAGAATACAACTACAACAGTTTTTTCAATAAGTAATCTAAATACATATCTGTGTAACAACTTAACAATCATCTAATGTCACTTTCACTAAATACAATTCCCGATTACCTCACTAAAATGAGATTCTTAAAAATTCCTGAAATTCATTTGGTGCGTAATATTTTCTTTTGTCTTATGGAAATAGTTGGTGTAATAAATCTGCAGCGTACAAGGGGCTGGGACATTAGAATTTTATCAGCCATCTGTGCACCCACAGCCAAGCTCGCAATTAGCATATACAATGATTTAGGTGATCATATTCAATTTCAACTGACGAACTTTATAAATAGTATAGTTATTATGGGTGCTGGGTGGCCAAGTGGACTGGAGTTGAATTCCCAGCAAAAGCCTAGACAAGCAAAAACAACACCAGCACCCTGAGTGGATGAGACTCGTTAACCTTGGATAGAAACTCATCTAAGAGAAGACAATCTGACAAAGTCTAGAACCAAACCTGGAAATAGAGTCCCATAAGGGGTATAACATTGACTCAATGAAAATTCCTACAATGTGGAACGCATACAGAGCTAGATCAAATTTAACAGACAAGGGCGAATGAGTGAGGCTGAAAAATTGAAAAACTCCTCCTCACTTTAAACAAAATACAGCTCAATTCAAGGCTACTTCTCTACTACTCAAGTTTTGGTCATTTTCACATGCTAAGGACAAACAATAAAATTAAAATAATTTAGGGGTGAGATATGTACTGTTAGCACTAATTTGGATTCTTATAAAGTGCGTTACTTGAAAGCATGATTTAACTTTAGTAGATGGGAATTTCATGCATTGTGGCCGCTATTATTTGGCGGGCGAAAGCTAGCTTTATAATCAACCTTCAAGTTGAGTTAAACCACCATGTAGGATGTTGATTCTCAGTAGTCAGTGATGAAGGTTGGATTATTACCTGAAAGGATTACACTAACAGTAAATATACCTGAAAGTGCAAGGACTTCTTGTGGAGGTCTGTTTTAAGTTTAGTCATCAAGCGAAAAAAAAGTGTCTTTAGATCCAGATATTGACTGACTTTGGGTATTTTGTTCTTTTGACATGAGATTCAATACATAGCTTCAAATTATGGAAATGTTTTCAAATTTAATTGAACAGAGTGGGAGTGTCCATGTGTGTGAAATCTTTAACTTTAATCCCATTTTGTTTTTGTATGGTTAGGGTGGTTAAAGTTTAAGATTATTTAAAAGAGGGCAGACCTCTAGGATAGGGGTGGGCAACATTTTTGAGAGAAGAACCATTTTATAAATTATATCTGCTATAAATATTTAGGAAGCTGTGGGTTTATAATGAAAAGAATCTCATACATTCATCTAATGAGTCTAATTCGGTTCCCAATCGCCGATGTTGTAGCATTATAGCTTGTACGGTATATAGGTACCGGTATAAACAATATAAAAATAGTTGTTAAAAAAAATACAACTACTGGTATGAGAATGGATGTCTTGTCCAAAAGAAGTTAATGGAACACGTCTACCAACAATCTGGGCATTATAACTTGTAAACAAGTATAAACAATATAAAAATAGTGGTTGCTTAAAAACTATGTGACGTATGAGAATGGATGGCTTTTCCAAAACACGTTTAATGGAACAAGTCTACTAGCATTTTGGATTTTTTTAATCCGTTAAAACAATGCACTTGAGTTCAGGGGACTGAGGTATAAGTATAAGGGGAGTGTTAAAAAATGTCTCATTCCTTTTAATGCTCCAAATATATCTGCTTTAAGAGGATCCAGCCATAATGGCAGCAATTAAAAAGGGAGACTGAGCTGGATAGACAGCTTGGTAGGATTACTTAGGCATCATGATCTTACGTACAGAGAGATTTCAAGGGGCAGACCACTCAAATGTACACCAAGACTAGGTAGACTGGTGAGGTGGAGACGATTCTGCTTCGTCTATCATGCTAGTCTATGTGCTAAAAATGAATATATACAATATAATATTTTTTTAAAAATATTTCCATTTATTTGTTTCAATGAAAGGATCTTATCTAATCTTATCTTATCTTATCTTATCTTAGTAGTGCAGGCAAAACTCCTAAAGCCCCCCATGAGCTGTAATGCGCGATTGTTGACGATGGTACCCTGGTACGACTGGTTAAGCTTTCAGATGCTTCTTTCATTCTTCAAAGTTTATGTTTATCTATTTTGCCCCATGGCTTTGACTCTCTAAAGCAAACAGCAACATGTGAACCATATGTAAATGATCGGTTCATTTTCTGTTTTAAAAATCTTCAAATTTATGTCTATAAAACAAGGGACAAATCGAGGCTCATCATAACGCCACGGTAATGAATTCATGAATAATAGCCAAACAAAAACATGTCACCAGTGCCGAGGCTAGACCTTGTGTTTTCCGGCGCGGTCCTAACGTTTTCCATCCCTAAAAAAACCTATATCAAATCAACTTCTACCACGGGTGGATGGGGCAAGGAGAAATAACCCTGTTTTGCAACTGAGCTCGGCATCATTTTTTCATCCGCGGCGCACCTAAGGCATTTTCCGTGAATTTCGCGGATGTTGATACTATTGCCATATATACTTTCAGCTGACAAGACGGCGACCCCTTCACTATCAAACACTCTTTTCGAAGCCTTCCGAATGCAACATTTGTTTTGGAAATCCGGTTGTTGATCTCATTAATTATTGTTACAGACCTGGAGAAAGTGCGGCACACATTTGTGAATTTTCGCATTGCTTGGAGATTCTGTCTCTTCAGTGGCGTAGCTGGGGGGGGGGGGGTGCGGACCGCACTGGATGACACCATCTCAGTGGTGACACCAAATTGAATACCTAAGTTTTCATTATGATTCAAAGCTAATTGAATTGTTCGTTTACTTTCGTATGTGACACTCTTATGCAGAAATGCTTCATGTATTATTTAAATTTTACGGTGCTCTTGAGAGAGTATTTTCCTTCTTTGCTCCATCCAATACACTGGAATGTCGGTGAAAAGATTGTCAACAACAACAGCTCACCATGCTGCCGCTAAAACAGTGAAATATAAGTTTGATGAATGTGTGGCGGCGATTGGAGCTTTATGTGATCCTCTTGAAAATTTGGATACAAGAGGTACAGCACAAGGTCTGTTTCGTGCCGTCTGTGATGTCAAGTTTATCTGTCTGTGATTTTAACCTTTGGCCTGATCTAGCCTACTTGAGGAATTTAATCTTACACAGCAGTATGTGCAGACTAAAGCCTTACTCTTGACAAAGTGGGGACCAACCTAGAGGCCTTAAGATTGTTTCTGCACGAGAAGCACTGTCACTTTGTGGAACATGCTATTGAAAAGGCACTTTTAAAATCAGACCAATATGGAATTTTGGTAGAGAAAAGATGAAAGTTTAAGAAGAGAATGGCAGGAGAACAATTAATGGCTGGACTCTCTGCGAGAAGAAAACATAAGGGAGATGTGGAGTGTATTGATCGCTTTCATTCTGAACGCCAGATCAGATCATCATCGATCAAGGAAGGTAGCCGCGATGTTTGGGACTGATCAACCCAAGAGTCTACTATCAGGAAGTGAAGAAGATTTATTAGTGTGCTTTCCAAAATTAATCTCTTTCTATGATGATTTATCATAAGATTAACTTTTAAAAGAAATATCAAGGCTTAGAAGACACCTAAAGGCAGTTGATATTGAATTTCACAAAGTCATGGACTGTTCAGTATTTGAGGTTTTGAAATTCATAGCTGAATGGGACTTCCTAGAATCTCTTCCGATGCTCTCGTTAAGCCTTCATTTTTTCTTACGATCTTGTGTATGTGGCTTCATGCGAGCGGAGTTTTTCATAACTAAGGCTAATCAAGAACTGTTTACGATCCACGTTGGGACAGCCAAGGCTTTCTTATCTTTACTATCAATCGAAAGTGATACGGTGAAGGAAACTGATTTTGATCAAGTGATTGACAGGTTTGCAGATTTGTAGACCAGGAAAGGAAAATTTTAAATAAATTCAATTTAATATAAAAATAACAATAACTTAAATTTGTTACAGTTCTTAAATACATTTACATCCTGACTTCCATTAATTTGTTTTTTGCTCTTGTCATTGTTATATTGTGGAGTTACTTTAACAAAAGAAATTCACCATGGAAGTTGAGATGGAGGAGGGGGGGGGGGGGGGACACCAAGAGTTGACCGCAACTGGGGACACTAACCTCAGCAACGCCACTGTAACCAAACAGTGATATTTTAGCTTCTTTTAAAGATTTTCATTGAGCTGGCTGTTTCATGAACCTTAAAGCAATTAATTTGTTTTTTGCTCTTGTCATTGTTATATTGTGGAGTTACTTTAACAAAAGAAATTCACCATGGAAGTTGAGATGGAGGAGGGGGGGGGGTGACACCAAGAGTTGACCGCAACTGGTGACACTAACCTCAGCAACGCCACTGTAACCAAACAGTGATATTTTAGCTTCTTTTAAAGATTTTCATTGAGCTGGCTGTTTCATGAACATTAAAGCATCTAAATCAAGACGCATTGACATTTGTCTTAGGCAACACTGACAAGGTACCCCTGGTCTTGTAACTTCTTGTTGAGTACATTCAGCTCCTGTGTAAAGTCAACAAGAAAAGCCAACACCTTGAGCCTTGAGCCATTTGGAATCACTTAGTACAGGAACAACCACTTCATCCTTCTCAATGAAGAATCTTAAAGCTAAAACGTGTTCAAACAGTAGGCAATATTTATTAATTATTGGTGCGAAGGAAGATGCTTTTGTGGGGAGAATGAATTTTAAATTTGTAATCGTAGAAAAGTCCTTTTTGACTAACCCTATTTTGAAAGTGACCAAGCTGTCAGGCTCGGCGTTGCCCTCACTCGAACACACTAGCGAAAATTTTAATAGAGATTCTTTGATACGGTGTCAGATTGCTACGATTTGCATAATTATGATTGTGCAATACCCACTAATTGACTTTTTAAACTTTTCTCAAAATCGCACTTTGGCCATGTTTGTCTCATAGGCTGCTATAAAATA